TGCTCTTTCACGACTGTAGAACCAATTGTCATGTTTTTGCTTTCGTATCTCGTCGAAGCCTACGCGGTTGTACAGTACAGCTACTTGCCATGGCTACTCCCGGCTATTCCAAAGGATTTGTATCAGCTGCAGCCCACGCTGTTCAATATCTCAGACATCTTCTGCATTGCGGATGACTCGCGCGCGAAGAAGGCGCCTGAGCAGGGAGGGCTTGGGTATGAGCCGCCGTTTACGACGATCCAGGGTATATGCAAGCAGCTTTTGGAATGGAATCGCGCTGCGGAGAAGAATCGGGTTCCTGCTGTTAAGGAGAAGATTGGACCACTTTCTGTTTCGGAGGAGGGGATTGATGTTACTCTTGTTTCGCCGGAGCAGAGGCTTTGAATGAAGGTACCAATTGGCTTTGGACTTGGCTGATTTTGTGGAGAGCGTCTTGGGTAGCGATTTAGTGCCTTTGGGAATTGCATATCATCTAGCGGGCACAATGGATCTGTTTGCTTTTGAGTATGGAGGTATGGCTAGATATGAACCGTCCATTGGAGTATTCTAAGAATAACGGACAGGGATGGTCCAATTAGGTATAGGACATTTGAAAGCACAGGGTATTTCTAACGCTGTCCAACTCGAACTGTGTGACCAGGGGCTTGACCGCCGCTTGAAATGCCCCTTGGCCGTGGTGGTGGAAAAGCCGTTGCCGCGTTGCGCTGACTGTATCGGTGCTTTTATGGGGATACTCCTTCATAGACGACAGAAGTGGCGTAAATGCGGGCTGTGAGGCCATTTCTCGAAGAAGCAGACGACCCCGGAGCGTGAGAGCTTGGTCGCGGACACCAAAAGTTCCACGTCGTGTCATGTGTGACGAGGACTAGATGAAAAAAGGCACATGAGCCGATGCAAAGCTAGCGCGACTGCTGCTGAGCAGCCTGGCGCCTGTGTTCCAAGATTTGTTGGCGAAGCTCCTCGGATGCCAATTCCACATCCAGGATCGCGCCCACGCCGCGCTTCCACGTATCCTCCAGCCCAGTGATTTCGCCATATCTCGACTCCTGAGCCATCTTCCGCTCCTTGTTAACCTGCTCCGCTGCGTCCTTGGTGTCGGCCAAATCCTTCTCAAGGCTGCGAAGGATCTCCTCCAGCTGTGAGTTGCCGATCAACCACGCATTCTTGCCATACTCTTCGAGCAACCCTAGATCCTCATGTCGCTTAGATAGGTGGGAGCTCGACACGTATGCTTTTTGTAACGTTCGGCGCCACGCATCCAGATCAGGGGTCTCGCCGTCCGATGCGCGCGTGGGTGGTTCTGGGGCTTCGTAGCGGGTGAGATCGATTCCCCCCGCCAATGGGGCTCCTGCCGCCTTGCGTTCGAGTTCTTGCTGGATAAGAGAGGAGAATTGGGGTTCTGGAGCGGCGGGAATCGATGGGTGAAGAGTTGATGAGTGCTCTGGAGAGACCTCGGCGTTGATGAGCTGTTGGGCTCTGGCGCGAGCAGCCGCTGAGGGCGCATTGTCGACATCTGAGAAAAGTTAGATACATAACACAGATAATAATTGAGGGAACCTACAGGGCAGAGAGTCGTGTGATTCGTTACTGAGAGGCATGGCGGCGGTGGTGGTGGTGATGGACAGAAAAGGCGCCGCTCTTTTCCAGGACTGATGGGGCTGATGACTCATCAATCATGTGACCAGTATTAACAGCCCTAACTTGAGTCTTCAATATTGTTGTTGTCTTGCAGTTACACACGCTGCTAGTTAATAATGTACTGCTACTGCCACTGTTATATATGCTTTGTATACATCAACCGGGCAACCCAGTCCTTGGCTGAGCTTGTGTTTCATTGTCCCGACGATCTTGTGCCTGGATGTCACTCATTGTGCCAACACTGACCGTGCGGGGGATCCGATCTAAGCCAGTTCGGGATCCGGAATGCGAATGGATGACGATCCCAGTCCTGCGCGATCATCACAAGCCCATCGCTTAGCTCGATGTTACCTATATCACGCCCAGTTGGGATTAAGATCTGCTGTATCCCCCATGTGGCTACCTGCCTCGGCTGGCTTTTAAGAACCCGTGTCTGCGCTTGAGACTGCCCTCTAAACACTCTATGCCCTGATTTCCCCTCTCAAAATGCCGAATCTTCGATGGGGCACCACAATTTTAGGAGTGACCCTGGCAGCTCTGTTGGTTCTCCAGCTGCTCGCTGTGGTACAAAACAATGCTCAGCCGCAGTCGCCGGCTTTCCGCGAGCACTACAACTCTTGGAACAACAGAGCCAACGATGCTGCAACCCACGATGATATTTTCAAGGTTGGAGCCGGCAAGGCGGATATCACGGGGTATGTTGGACTCCCTACATCAGCGGGTGGTGGTCACTAACAAGAGCCAGACCGGTGGTCGAGGTCGATTTCAATGGGTACGCCAGCCTGGACCAGCTGGGCACGGGCGTGCGGCAGCGACTCTATTCGCGCTCCTTCATCTTTGCTAGCCCCAACAATCCTGACGACACCTTTATATATCTAATTCTGGACACCCAGTCGGGTGACACGGCTGTGAGACACGGAGTCCTGCAGGGGCTTGCTGCACTGGGCGGCGAATACGCGAAATATGGGGAACATAATGTCGCCTTGGTCGGAACCCATTCGCATTCCGGGCCCGGCGCGTGGATGAATTATCTGCTGCCTCAAATCCCCACCAAGGGGTTCGATAAGCAGAGCTACCAGGCTGTTGTTGACGGCACGATTCTGTCCATCAAACGTGCTCATGAGAGCATGACCACAGGCCGTCTTTCCTTCGGCAATATTACCCTGAACGATGCCAACATCAACCGTAGCCCATATGCCTACGAGCAGAATCCAGAGGAAGAGAAAGCGAAGTACGTGGGACAAGTCGAAAAGACGCTTTCGCTCCTGCGCTTTGATCGAGAGTCCGATAACAAAACTGCGGCCGTCTTGACCTGGTTCCCCGTGCACGGTACCTCCATGTACAATAACAACACCCTGGTCACGGGCGATAATAAGGGTGTCGCCGCCTACCTCTTTGAACGCAGCATCGTGGGCGACGATCGATTTACTGATGATGCTGTTATTGGCTTTTCCCAGGCCAATGTCGGCGACACCTCCCCGAATATCCTTGGTGCTTGGTGCGAGGATGGCTCAGGACAAAAGTGCAGCTACAAAGACAGCACCTGTGGCGGCAGTAACGAAGCATGCCACGGCCGAGGACCTTTTTTCCGTGTCAAGGACAACGGAGCTAAGAGTTGCTTCGAGATTGGGAAGCGCCAGTTCGCGGCTGCGAAACAGCTCTACGACGATCAAGTCAACACGCCGATCACTGGAAGCTCGTTTGTCAAGTCCTTCCATGTCTACGAGAACATGAACGGTTTCGAGTTTACGTCTCCTTTCAACGGCAGTGCCATGAAGACTTGCTATGCGGCGCTTGGATATTCATTTGCTGCCGGAACCACAGATGGACCAGGTGCCTTTGATTTCACCCAAAATTCCACCGGGCCGTCCACCAATAACCCCTTGTGGAAGATTGCGCGAGGATTTATCCACGAACCCAGCCCGGAACAGGTTGCCTGTCAAGCACCTAAGGATATTCTACTGGATGTGGGTACTCTGACTCTGCCGTACGCATGGGCTCCCGATGTTGTTGATTTCCAGCTGCTCCGACTGGGGCAGATGTTTGTCGTCATTTCCAGCAGTGAAGCCACCACAATGTCTGGGCGCCGCTGGAAAGCCGCCATCATAAATGGGGCCCAAGATATGCTCGGTGTTTCAGAGCCTCAAGTGGTGCTCGGAGCGCCGGCAAACAGTTACTCTCACTACCTCACGACCGAGGAAGAGTACAGCGTGCAGCGATACGAAGGAGCATCCACTCTGTACGGGCCAAATGAACTCGCGGCGTATGTGAATCTGACTCTCACCTACCTGCCATACTTGGGGAGCGATGCGGATGTGGCCAAGCTGCCCACCATCCCAACGGGCCCCAGCCCGCCCATCAACACGAACAACTCGCTCTCTTTCATTACAGGGGTTGTGTATGACGGCGCACCAATCGGCAAGTCCTTTGGGGACGTGCTCGCCTCCCCGGAGAACAAAACATTCCAACCAGGGGACGTGGTCAACACGACCTTTGTCGGCGCCAATCCCCGAAATAACCTGCGTCTGGAAGGGACGTATGCGGCGGTGGAAAAGAAGACCGGGTCGGAGTGGACACAGGTGCGCAATGACCGCGACTGGAACTTGGTGTTCAACTGGTTGCGAACCGACACCGTTCTGGGCTACAGCACGGTGACGCTCGAATGGGAAATTGAGAACTCATTCTACAGTGTCGGCAACCCGACCGCGCTGTCGAGCGGGACGTACCGGATGCATTATTATGGGGACTCGAAGGGCGCGACGGGCACTATCACACCGTTTGAAGGGATTGGCCCGTCTTTCATTGTGAAGGCGTCGTAGGATGAACTAAATGACCATGACTGAAACATATTATTCGATGAATTACCATAATTTACTGCTAGCCCTAATTAAATGCTAAATATACTCCACTACGGGCCAATCAGCACGCGCCGTGGACTGGGCGGTTGCTGCAACGTTCTTTGTCGCGCGCTTCTATTTCCAGCACAACAATGGCCAACATGAAACAGTTCAATCTAGAATGAGCGCTTCATCGATTCATAAGACCCCAGCTACGGCCATCCCTCGGGGTCTTTTCGTCTCAGATCGCTTCATTCTTTTGTTCTTCGCCGCATTCGTGACTCTTCGAGTCAAGCCACTCTTTCTTTGCCCCGGACAGCCATGAAACATCTCTAGTCTATTGAGAACCATTGACGATGTGTTTCTTTGACTGTGTCTGTTGCCTTCCTATCGTTAATATCTATTTCTTCTCTCTTTGAACCCTCCTCACCCACCCAGCTAATCATACCTTCAATTCTGCGTGCTTCTCGCAACCAGTTCAAACTCACTCGCTGTGTCTCTGGTCCAAAACCAGCTGCTCCAAGAATGTTGCTCCTTCAATTTGTCTTGCTATTGTCCTTTCTGGCTACGCACTGTTCGGCTGGTCCGATCGCTCGCCTTTTATCTCCTGCCCAGGACTCTGCGGCTTCTGCCTCGCAGCTCTCGGAGCGGGATGCTGCTCAAGACGACCAGGATATTGGGATCGTTGTCACCCCAGTTACTCCCACTTGGCTAGAGTCGAGCACGACTTCTACTACCACAGTTTCCAAGGTTACGCCAACCAAGCCGGGATACGCGGTCTACTTGACCTATCCCTGGGACATCCACTCATACCCGGATGCCACTACCACTACCACTACCATTACCACTACCGAAACGAAGAAGGAACCAACACACACTACGTCCACGTCTTCTTCTCATTCAACTTCCAAGTCCACTACTACAAGCTTGACTTCAACCAGTACGGTTTCTAAGGTCACGCCTACCAAGCCGGGGGACCTCCACTCGTACAAGGAAACCGATCCTACGACCACTACAACGAGCTCAAAATCAACTTCTTCCAAGACTACAGCAACCAGCCACGTGCATGCCATCACCAGCCCCGTCATCGTCTGGGTCACAGCCAATTCCTCAGACGCGAGTATGTATTTTTGGGATACAAAGCCCAGCACGGTGCCGGACGTGAATAATAGCCCTCTTACTGATTCTCGGAGCACTACCACCAAAACTACCCCCAAAGCTACCACCAAGTCTACCACCTCCACCTCCAACACTAAATCTCACGATGCGGACAATGGAGATGTAGTGACTCTCACTTCTACATCCACCGTTGTGGTTTATGAGTCTCCAACCTCGACGCACACGGTGTATGAATCTGTTTCTACGAAGGCGCATATCTATGCTGAAAACTTGGGTTCTGGATCTGGATCTAAGGCTGCCTCTGGAACTCCCTCGGATTCCACGTCGAACTCTGGGAGCTCTGATCCTGGTTTAAAGAATGATACAACTTCCAACTTCAACTCCGATTCCACCTCCGCGTCCGCAGCTACTGATACCCATTCCGACTCCGGCTCCGGCTCCAAGGGAAACGACTCGGGCATCCTGTCCGTTGTCCCTATCACACCGTCGGACGACGGCATGGCCGGTACGGTGACTAGTACTAAGACTGTCGTGATATCTTATCCAATCGAAACCACGGTGGTCCATACAGTGATCTCCCGGTTTCCTTATATTACGACCAAGACGGAATCGATCACGGTAACTCATACCGAAACGGCCACGGTCACACACACCCGCGAATGGGTACTGCATGAGCCGGGCACTTGCTCAGATATCAAGTAGTCATAGCTCTCTCCCTTTACATAGTGCAATGGGTCATCATTCATTTCCTATCTATCATAAAAACCATTACCTCTGTCTACATTTCAAAGGTCCCGCTTTGATAGGTATTTTCTTTCTTCCACTTGGTTATATTTCTTTCGAGTCTTTCCTGATGGAAGCGGCTTATAGTACTAATGGATTTGGTTCTGGATAAATTCCCTTAATGTATGTAGACAATAAGATGAAACAAAGATCCTGGTTCAGAACTATGATATATAAGTCCTCTAAAAAACCCAAGCAGAAACAAGTGGTATCTATCTACTACAAAAAGCCATTCAACCATCCATCCAAAAGCCATAACGCGCCCCAACACAACCCAACATGTCCCAAACAAATCCAAAGACAAGGCAAGACCAAGACAGAAAGAAAAGTTATAACTCCGAAAGAACACCCCCAGCCTCTGCAAACTTCCGCTGATAGACCTTCAAACTAGCCCACTGACTCAGCTCCTCCTGGTCACGCTCATAATCACTACCGTAGCTCATAGCACGACCATTCATCTGCGGGCTCGTGTCGCTGTTTGCATTGTTTCCCGCTGTATTTGCAGCGACGGCAGAGTGGCATTCTAGTCGGACGAGGGTGTCAATGAAGGCGTGAAGGTAGGATTGCGCCTCTGCGGCGGTGAGGACGTGTGGGCCTGGCGTTGAGGTTGTGGTTTCTGGTGTTGATAACGGTGCTGCTGTGCTGGATGTATGATTTGATGTCGATGTGGGAGGGATGTCTGTAATTGAGGATGGGTTTGTGGGGGGTGTTGGGGCTGTGTGGTTCAGGAGTGTTGATGCTACTTGGCGGATTTTAGTCGTCTAAAATTACAGTTAGAACTGGAGTATTAGGATAAAAAGAGGAAAACTTACTATGCTGGCGCCGTTCGGCTCCATGTTGACTTCGTTGACGGTCTGCACGAGCATGAAGAGGTCCTTGATCACGAGCTTGCGCTCCTCAGCCATCATGCGCCCGATATAATCCGTCCGAGCATGAGCCTGTGCCCGGGCGTTTGTATCTGGCAGATCTGCGGCAACACCCTCAATCCTGACCCCCGGCGTGGCATTCGGGGTGGTCTGTTGTTCATTCCGCAAGGCTTCGTATTTCGAGAACGCCTCGAACAGATTCCAGTACTTATCAACCAGATATGACCGCGTACACAGCTGACTAGCGTATATATTGGCTTTCTGGATCTCATACTGGATGCCGCGCCGTTCTTGGTCGATGTGGTCCTCCGAGTAACTATACATCGTGCCATCATGGCTCATGCCCGACATTCCAGCGGGGGTCTTTTTCGGATAGTGGAGGGATAACTCGGCAGGAACATCGAGAAGCGCAGATCTGGCTTTCTGGAGACCGTCCCAGATGGTAGAGCGTTGGCGCTCCCAATCGAAGACTTGTCCGCTGCCAAAGGCGACTTCCCAGGCCAACAGAGCGTTGTAGGAGCTGTATACCCGTACATTAGCGTTGAACCCAACAAGCCGCGAGACTCTGTCGGATGGTTGTGGTTCCATATGTGTTGGAAACAAGAATTCATCATCGATCTCCAGTGGGAGGGGCGGATAGCTAGCTGTCGGTGTTTCTGGCGGAATGTGGAGTTTGACGTTCGCAGATCCAAACTGGTGGAGAGAGTGGTATCCGACAAGAACAACATAAAAAAGACGACGACTGAGCTCTTGGGTGATCAAGTCGACGGGTTGGTCAAACCCAAAACTATGTTGATCTGTTATCGCTGAGGGTGACGAGATCGTACTGGTCAGACTTCCAGATGACGTTCGGCACAGATCATAAACTTGGAGCATAGACCGGCATTCAGCGAGATACAGACGACACCGGCGCATGCTGTGAACGTAGCCGGCACAGACGCCCAGGAAGTAGCTGATAGCAGCATCGTAGACCGTCACATTGCGGTCTAGATAGCCCGTCCCTCTTGCCTGGATGGCGACATCATGACATCGTTTGACCAAGGTCACCGAGTTGGGGAAAGCAGACCTCTCGGCCTCAGTATTGAGACGGAGTTTGGGGCGTCGGGGAAAAGAAGCCACCAGGAAACCGATCATCGAGGCCAGAAGAGCCAAGAACGTACGATTGGTCACATCTTCTCGGCGCCCGAACGCAGCGCGAAAGGTCGGCTCATGCGGAATGGGAACCAGGGGATGGATGAACGTGAAGAAGTCATCCAGCAGCAGTTGCACCGTGTGCAGGGAGCATATTGACTCTGCCGAAGTTGGGAACGGCGTGTTTTGAAGATTAAGAGGAGTTGGTGGACTAGCCACGGGTTGTGGGCTTAGCGGCGACGGATGATCATCCACTTTCTGTTTCTTGAGTGCCTCGGCATGGCGATTGGGCGGTCCCCGCCGTCGACTTGGTCTGTCGTAGGTGCAGGGGATGTCCAAGCCGGCGCAGGACCGACAAGGCGGTCCACTCACGTCGCACTGGATGAGATGTTAGGAATGATTCTTGTTGAGGGACAGGAAAAGACTCGCTTTGACTTTGCGAATGCTGCAGGCATCACAAGCCTTGCGCAGTCGCGTTTTGGTGTCCATCGGATGAGCACGCCGGTGAGGGAGGCTCTGGCTAGAGTTATCAAGTCATGTTCATGGTGCAGCGCTTATTCACGGCGTAAATCTCAACGGGAGCTTCCTGGTCTACCGCGGAACGTCCGGAGGAGCCCTCCACAGGTCTGTGAACAATTGCAGGTATTCTGCACTGCAGGGTCCTCGGCCAGGCCAATTCGAATATCACTGGGGACGGCAAAAACTCCAGCTTAAGGTCACCGAGTACTCTTTCTCTCCGAGAGGTGCTACTCGCTCACTCCGGTCGTCCGTTCATGAGCAACTACTAAGTTTGCGCAAAGGAGATGCCGCGGATGGTGGCGGGTCACGTGCCCCTGGAATACGGTGGAGAAAGTATATAGATTAGGAAGTGGATTATTATTGATTATTGATTATTTGTGGAGGCTCAAGTCATGCCGGCATTTCATCGTGATACTCGCCGAGCGGTCGTCGGTCCGCCTGTTGTTGCTGCCGCTTGCGTTCCATATCGGCCGCCCACATAGCAGACCCAGCGGCCGTGGTCATGAGAAAGAACATGGAAAACGGAGGAATGAGCTGCAAGATAAGCGCAACGGTTCCAAACCTTGAAACAAAATTTAGCGGGAGCTTTCATCCGAAACAAGCAAGAAACTTACGTGGTGTATTGCAACTGTCGGCGGCCCACATTCTCCTTCCTCTCCTTCTTCGTCATATCCCGCAGATGGAAGTACCGCCAGTGATGAAACGGCCCAGCGCGATAGCCCGTGAGCACAAGGAACATCGGCGTCCCCGCCACCGGAATAAAATTGAGCGGGAGCAGAAGAATGAACTCGAGGATCTGCCGCAGCGAAAACGGCGCATAGACCGCCGAGGTGGTCGGCGTGCCGAGCCGACTCACGGGATCGCCTTGCTCGGGATAGATCACCCGAGACGTGAGGATCAGCTCCTCCTGACCCTCGTTGATCAGCACGGCATCGAAGATATCCACGAGGGTCTCGTCCACGAAAAACGCCTCGAAGAGCCCAGCGACAATGGCGGCGCCTTCGCCCAGCACCAGGAACGCGCCGTTGACCCAGGCACCAACGCCCTGGAAGATGGCGAGGAATGCTACTTGGGGTAGGTAGGCGAAAGTGAAGAGCAGGACGTAAATGAAGGTGGAGAGGAGGAGGATGGGGACGAGGCGGGCTTTGAAGAGTGGCCAGAGGAAGCGGTGGGTTGCGAAGTAGTAGATTCCCTTGTCTTCATTAGTATTTGCTTTCATTATCGTTTGAGGGTAAGCATACCCTAAAGGGATACAGCCAGGCTGCCCGGGAGGTATCGAGTAATTGAGGCATGTAGACCGGGTGTGTTAAATAAAGCACAGGCAGAATGAAAACGAGCGATCTTCAGCTTTATCGATAACACGGGTCATGTGATTGCTGACTAACACCACCGCTCTTTTCCACTCAATTTTCTTCTCCCCTTTCCTTCTCTTTTTCTTTTTTTCCATACATAAACTGAACTCCTCCTTATTCACTCGAGAATCCACATATTCTCCCATGGATTGTTACGAGGGGAAATAGGAGGACAGACAAATGCTTCCCTGCTGGCTTACCCCAAACTCTTCTTCTGAAAAGCGTGGAGCGTTTGGAAATAATCTTCAGCAGCACATTCTATTCATTTCCCGATAATCGCTCCCACCACATGCTCCAGACTATGCACAATACATGTCGGTCGGAGCGCCGGGTCAGCGGCATCTTTCCATCCGGCACAGGCGCGATCTACCCAGATGGCGTTCATGCCCATGCTGCGCGCGCCGACGATGTCGAATGGATTGCCGCTGACGAGCCAGAGCTCCGTGAGGTCCTTCCCGACCTGGTCTGCTAAATGCTGGTAGCTCGCTCGCGAGGGTTTGTACCGCTGGACCTGGTCGACAGTTACGATATCCTGGAACACGCTGGCGTGCGGGGCGAGGTCCTGGGAGCGCAGCACCGAGTTGGACACCATGGTCTGGGTGCCGTTGGAGAAGATCACGGCTTTGAGGGCGGGTTCGGCTCCCAGGCGGCTGAGGGCTGGGTTCACGTCGGAGAATGTAGACAGGTGGTCGTAGGCTTCTAGTAACTGGGTTGTGTCGGCGTCGCTGAGTTGTTCGTTGTTCTCGGACAGGGCGTGCTGTAGTGAGTTGCGGGTGACTTGGTCAAAGTCGACGTAGCTTTCTAATTTGGTGATATGGTCAGAGTGGTACTGCTTGAAATGGGAGCGCATCGTTGCCTACCCATGCTATTCAGCCTCCACGTATACTCGAGCTGATACCGTCGCCACAGCGCGGAAATGGTCTGCGCCTTGTCATGCCCAAAGTGCTTCTCGAGTTCCTTGGCAATCGAGTTTGTAGACAGCAGTGTGCCGTACAGATCAAAGGCGACGACGATTTCGGACATGGTGGGTGGTGGTGAGGAAGATAAAGGATGATGTCAGTCGAGGCTGTTTATCTGGCGCGGGGCACATACTTCCGGTCATTTCCTCACTCCCTCATGTCGCACGACAACTACGCCGTCTTTCGAGAATGTCTGTCCAGCGCCATTGTCGCTCGTTCTGAGGAGAAAAAGCCAAGCAAGACACCGCGCCGGAGACACAAGACCAAGCATGTTCCAACCCAGCCAACATCAACTTCCGAGCGAGCAGACCCGGAAGAGCTGGCCGAGTTCATAGATGTACACATTTCTCCCTCATGACCAAAAGGAATAACTACTTCCACACATATCCAGTTCCTCGCCTCGGAGACCTTCGCCGCCCTCCCCGAATCCCTCCAAAACCTCTCCTACGCCGCCGTTCAACACGACCCGAACCTCGCAAACACCTACAACACCGACACTTCACTCAATCGGAACACACTCGACACCCTCACCTCCCCAATTCCCGTCGAAATTACGGACTCCCTCACCGTCTACGGCATAATCAGCTCCCCGGACAATCTCCCTGACTTCCTATCCCCAGTGCTGTCCGAATACATATCCAGCGTAACAGCCGCGCCGCCAGTCTGGATCCAGACACGCGCAGAGGCGTGCGAGATCTGCGAGCGCGACTGGATCCCGCTGTCGTATCACCACCTGATTCCGCGCGGGGTGCATGCGAAAGTGCGCAAGAAGGGGTGGCATGACGAGTGGATGTTGAATAGTGTTGCCTGGCTTTGTCGTGCGTGTCATAGCTTTGTGCATCGCATGGCGAGTAATGAGGAGCTTGCTAGGGAGTGGTTTACTATTGAGCGGATTCTGGAGAGGGAGGATGTGAGGGATTGGGCTAGGTGGGTTGGGAGGGTGAGGTGGAAGGCTAGATAGATAATTCTATATTTATTCGCGGTGTAGAATGAGATAATAGATGGGTATAGTATAGTACATGCGGTCTCTCTTTTGCTCGTGCAAAGACACCCCAACCCTAGGTGACGGTAAATCGAGCGCCGAAAATGGCTACCTCGGACGGCGCCCTTTTTACCAGGATCTGTCATTCACATCTCATATGATCCGATTGGACTGTGTGCTCTCCGAGCGCTCAGAGAGCGCTCAGGGCTGCTCAGTGATCTGCTCAGCCTTCGCTCAGGGTGCTTAGAGCAGACGATCAGAGGTAACGTGTGTTCTTTCTATCTCTGATCCGCTTGTCGCCGCTGAACACAAAAAAGAACCGTCTTTTTTTGGGGGGTAACGTACAGTACACGACCCGGTGAATGGCTCAAACGAGCGCGACATCTGAATGAGATTGAATGATTTGAGTAGAACGGCTATAAAATTGTTTCCTGTTTTAGAACCAGATGAGGAAGGAAAAACCCTCTCAGAGGCATTAAAAATCACGAAACCAATACTGTATAAAAGGCAACTCCTCTTATGTGCAGGTGACGGATTGGACGTACATTCTCTACCGTACGTACTACCTGTTTGCTTCCATTCTGCGTCTGCATCATTACCTTCTTCAGGATAGTAGGCTCTAGCAGGCACACGTTCTTTCCGCTGTTGGGCTGCGTCCAACAGCACTCTCGCATAGTAGCATGTATATATAGAGCTAATCGGGCAAATGACATCTGAATATGAAGTGGATTGGATTGACAAGTGCCATTGACCTAGCGGAAGTTTCCGTGTTTAATACCCCCGCCTCTATGAACGACTTCGCAAACAATTGCAACCCGCCTCCTTGCCAACTAACTTCATTGTGTTCGCTAATGGGATCTGGTTATGGCCTGCACTATATTGTAGTCTATTACCAATTGAAAATATAATACTTACCAGCCCTCTGGTAGCCTTCGGTCAGCCCATCCAGAGGACCAATCATTCCCTTTGTATAGCACACCTATTAGTATTCCAAGTTAGTAAAACCTTATATATTGAGGTATTGAAATAATTGACAATAAAACATTTCTTACCTATCGCAAAATACATCATGTCGTTCGCATTTTTTTGCGCTTTCGGAGGATCTATTCTGGCGAGGCGGCGACAATCAAGATAATCATAAGCATAATCATCAGCTAAAAGAGGATGGTTAGTTCAATACTAGAGTACTTCGGAAGTGAAACTCACTGTGAAGACGAAGGTGGGTCAATTCATGATAGATATCTGATCCAACAGTCGTCATGTCGTCGATGTATGTACCCCAGGGCATTTTCGAATACTCGTCGCAGAGGCGACTTGGAGGGCTTTCCCAAGATCTAGGACATAGTACCATCACGTTTGCTGGCTCGTAAGCAAATCCTCCTTTCGGATTGCCCTGCTCGTCGAAACAGGGATTTAGGTCTTGCTTCCACCAGAATTTAATTTCTTGACCAGGAGGGTTCCTTGTAAAATAAACAAATCGTTCTAAGCCCGTTATTCTTAGATTGAACGTTCGCACATTTCGGAGTAGGTCTACTTACCGTTGCGTGGAAGGTCTTGCCCTTTCTTTGGACCGCTTTGGTATTTTGTAACATGTACAATAGCAGAATCATCGCAATATAGGCTATATGGCATTTGCCTACCATCTCTGCCTAGGTTTCTCATCCTCTTGTGGTTTTCTGTAAGAGATGAGCTTGTTAGATCTTGTATTCTTCCTAGCGGATAGAAAGAATGACAGCCTACTTTTTATATCCTCCATCTGGTTAAGAGTCGGATTGTACATCGCATTCAACATCTCTCTGTCCTTTGTAGAAAGAGGCTTTGAAAGAACATAGGAGCTTTCATCCGCTAGAGCGGCAAATTCATCCCAGGCTTCTGTCAAGGCATGTCTCCTAGGCCTGCAGCTCTCACGATCAGTCCATGCCCAGTGTTCTCGGGCATCAGCAGAGCATATAGCAACATAGCTCAAGAAAAGGGGAAGAAAGATCAACCAGGACTTGGGATAGTGTGAACCCATGAGAAAAGAATATCTCAGTATATCTTCGAACGAGATTTTTGAGAAGCAATTTTCTCAATCCAGTTATTCGAAAGGAGGTTGGCGTATTTATATTTATACAGGCTCGCTTAAGGTGGAGTACCAGCCCCAACCGCAGTCAGGCCATTCATTCCTCAGCGCCCGAAATTCTTGAACAGGATTTGATCTTCGTGTTTAGCCTCTTGTTACTTTGCCCCATAACCTTACATGCAGAGTTTGTACAAGCTAAGGAGACACGCTAGTGACTATTTATAGGGGCAAAGCAGCACTAAAAGACCATTTGAATGCGTATGACTTTACCACTCCATATCTATTCTGGGTGTCTGAACGAATCCATTTCTACTATTCAAAAGCCTTTAATTGGCTGATTATTAACATTTATCAACTACTTATAATTTATTTGCTAAGTAATGAGGTTTTTAGTGAGCATTTTTTGGCCCTTTTTAAGCCTTGGACCTAGCGTCGGTGGGCTGGGATCCACGTAGTTAAAAGGATCCATGAAAGGGGAAGAGACAGGCATACCAGTAAAGATAGCCGTCCCTCAAGTATATAATCGTGGCCTTCTTGACCACTTTGATTTTACGAGTACATAATCTGCCCCTTTCAAGGATAACAAGTTTGTTATCGTCGATTTGTAACCTCCTACATATGCCGCATATTGTCAATATTCCTCTCGCCTAACAAGAACAAAAGGAGGATCTTTGGCCCCCGATTTCGTGCTTGGCTGGGCAACAAAATGAAAATCATCATCTAACCGACGCTATCTATAAAGCCCGGGCTCTGATCCTCTCTTACTGATGTCATTCCTTTTTACTCAAGCTGTGCGCAATACATTTTTGGACGTATTTGTCTGAATCTTATTTAATTGATCTTTATTGCCAGCTGATAATTTACATCCTGTTCCTCAATCCTTTAGAAAGGAGATCTCAACTGCGCATTATTAATAGAAAGAAAAAAGATCGTGTGATCTAAGAGAACTCGGTACGTAGTTGCCCCTTATTCAACTGGTTGACATCTCACCAGAGTCTTGTGACCTCAGGCTCTCCATTGGATCGCCAATATAGCTACGAGACATAGCACCGTGTTTAATTATCGTAAGCCTCTGTATTGACTCCGACAAAGAAGTTTAATATTTAATGTATTTTCCTAACATGGGCTAGCGTGTCTGGCGTTGGGGTTGAAGAATCAATCGAAGAGTGTACATGGTGGCACCAGTTTCGGGACGTACTATATTGCCCATCTCTCGTCTCCACCTGGTTCGTCATCCTGTTTAACCACCATCAGTTCACTATGGCAAGCTGTGTTCAGCTACTCGGGAGACATTCGTGTGATAATGCTGTTGATGAGCAATGATTCATCATTTACAATTGTGAATTATGAAAGGTCTGTCATCACCGTGTACCTAGTTTGACCCTACACATTAAGGGCATCAACTAATAAAGCCGTGGTACATCTATGTCTCTTGCAGGCTCAAAGAAAAGTGCATCAGACCCAACCTCGACGAAGTCCACGTAGCTAGTCAGCCGTCGGATGGCTGTATTAAATCATCAAGAACATATCATGTCCTAGATACTTTGAAATAAGGCAGACATGACTTGTTGTTCTGGCTCAGGCACTGTGAGGGGCTTTACTTCATCCTTAAGAGGTGTAGCAGAGTTGCCGCGGACATAGCCGTTTACAGACCATCAGATAGGTCTAGGTATCGAGCACTACTAGGAGTGGCGCTTTAAGATTTGATTAGGAGGTTCGAAGGGGACGGTGAAAGTTACTAACAGGGGAAAACGTCATCTTGGCCTGGACTCCCAGGAGCGTCAATAGGAGTAGGGCGGTTAGCATCGGAGCAGGCGAAGGACCAGAGACACGTTGTGAACTGAAGGGGTTAGAGCAACGGGTGAGCGCTCTGGTCCTGCTCAGAGATCGCTCAAAACCCGCTTAGGGCCAGCTCAGGGCCAGCTCTGAGTGCTCAGGGAGCGGCTCACCCCGTGATCTCAGAGCCGATCGCTACCCGAGGCCGTAGGTTTACCATCACCATTATTACGAAAGAAAAAAAGAAAATGAAAATATGGTACAGGGTTCTATTGGTGGTATGCACAAAAGAGAATCTCACAGATATCGCTTCTCGTAGATCTCTTCATAGCACTGGATATGGTCGCCAACCGCAAAGTCGGTCCAGTCCTCAAAGCCAATGCCGCATTCGGTGTCTTTACGCATTTCGGTCACGTCTTTCTTGACGTTCTTGAGCGAGGTAATTGTGCCTGGGACGTGTTAGACATGATCTTATTGCCATGAGAGAAAAACTTACCATCATAAATTGTCTGATCCCCGCGCATCACCCTGACCTTGCGAGTCCGGTTGACCAGGCCATTGCGCACTCGGCATCCAGCAATCGGGACCTTCTCGCGTCCCTTGACGGTAATCTCAAACACCTGTTGCACTTCGGCTTCGCCAGTCACACGCTGCGTCACTGTCGGCTTCAGGTGCTCGCTGAGAGTAGCCTTGATATCGTCGATCAGCTTGTAGATGATATTGTGGTCCATGATTGCCACCCCCTGAGACTCGGCATTCCGCAGGGTATTGCCATCGATGGGTAGGTTGAATGAAATGACCTTCCCGTTGGCACTAGCCGCATGCTCAATGTCGAACTCTCCAACCGGGCCAACGCCAGACCGGAGGACGTTAGCGTACACCTCGTTGTTGCCAATGGCTGCAATGGAGTTCAGAACGGCCTCCGCGGAACCGTCCACATCCGCCTTAACGATGAAATTGACAGCCTTGGGCCCGCTCGACTCCTCTAGACCAGCACGTGCTTGGTCCTCGCCGTCTTCCATTTTGCGTTTCTGCATGAGCTCGCGTCGGGACTCGTTAATGGCGGCCATGTCCTCTCCCAATTTTTGGGTCTCGGATTTCTCCAGACGGTAAGACACCACATCCTTGGCCTTTTGCTCATCGGGTGCTTGCAGAATCTCGGTGCCGGCCGCAGGTTGCTCTCTCCAGCCATCAATTTCGACAGGCATTCCCGGTGTGGCTTCATCGATAGCGACGCCGGCTTCATTTCGGAGTGTGCGCACCCGAGCCCACGTCGTGCCCGCAACGATGACATCGCCTGGCCGCAGTGTGCCGCGGCGAACCAGAGCCGATGCTACACGTCCATAGCTCTTTGTAGTGGCCTCAATGACCCATCCCTCGACATTGCCGCCGGTGTCGGCTCGATGGTCCAGCATCTCAGACAGCGCGCCAATAGCCTCTTCGAGTTCGACCATTCCCTGTCCAGTTTTACCACTGACCCCAATGGCCTGGACATCACCACCGTAGTCTTCGACATGGACGCCGTGAGCTGAAAGGTCTCCTTTCACTTTATCCAGGTTTCGCCCTTCCTTGTCAATCTTGCTGATGGCCACAATAATCGGGACCTTGGCCTGGGTGGCGTGCTTGATCGCTTCGATAGTCTGCGGCTTGACGCTGTCATCGGCAGCCACAACAAGAACTACAATGTCCGTCACGTCGGCACCTCTGCGGCGCATCTCCAGGAACGCAGAATGACCGGGGGTATCCAGGAAAGTAATCGTCTTGCCAGAAGGCATCGCCACCGAAAATGCACCGATATGCTGCGTGATACCGCCATGCTCGGAAGCGGCCACTGATGATTTCCGCAGCCAGTCCAGAATCGTTGTTTTGCCATGGTCGACATGACCCATGATGGTGACCACTGGTGGCCGTGTCGGCAACGCAGATTGATCTTCTGGTACAGGTGCCGCCTGGAGGTCATAATCCCCTGATGCCTCGAAGATGGGGTCAAAATTGAATTCGGTGGCCACCAAACCGGCCGTCTCCGCATCCAGGACATGATTATAGGTAACGTCCTCGAAGCCCATCTCCTCCATTCGCTGGACGAATTGTGCTGGTCGGACCCCAATGACGTCCGCCAGGTTGTTAACACTGATGAATTGAGGCAAGTAGAGCGGCTGCGGCGCGGATTTCTTCTTCTCTTTCACGAGTGACCTTTCCTTCTTCAGACGTTTGCGTTCGTCCCGACGACGTTGATGTTCGTCGACATCGAAATCGCGATCAGTAGCCTCAATTTGCCGCTGCTTGCGTAAGTTTTTGCGTTTGGCGTCATTCGACGAGGCTTCATTTTGGGCCTCGATGGTTTCCAGTTGTTCCAATGCAGACATGTCCCAGGCCCACGGGTCCGCTTGCTTTTCTTTCTTTGCATCCTTCGCACTACCTTCAGCACCTTGAGTTTTGCGCTTTCCGTGGGCAGTCGACTCTGTTGTGGAAGCTGCTCCATGTCTCCGGGGTACTTCTTGCCCCCAGTCGGTCAAAACAGACTCGCCAAGTTTCTGGAACTTGGCGATGTCTTGAGGATGTCGCTGTTTTCCAGAAGTTGGGTATGCTTCCGTAGTCCGTCGGGTAGTCCCATCCTGCCTCTCTCTGCGCGGTGCGCCCCTTTCATAAGACCGTCGGTCTTCATGATCCCGGCGCCGTTGCTGGTCGTTGTTCTTCGTCTCTGCCCATGTCCGACCAGAAGAACGAGATGGCTGAGACGTGCCTGGTTGACGTTTCGATGCATTGCCAAGCCCTTGTTGTGTCCGAGGCCTGTTGTCTTGCTGTTCCGAACTCTTGTTCCTTGTGTCTGCCCAAGTCTGACCTGAGGGCCGACCCGATTGGAATGCCGCTGGTTGATTTCTCGTGGCATTGCGGGGCGCTTGCTGTGGCCGGCGCTGACCCTCTAATTTTGGCGGAGACTGTTCTGATTGTTTTTGGGGCTGCTGTTGTCTCTTGGCCACCATTGACTCGCGCAGTGACTTCTCTGCCGCACTCAGGCCAACTGGTTTCACAGTTGCCTTAGTGCCCCATCGCGCGGCACCCCATTTGGATTTCTTCTCATCTGTTTCGTCTAACCGGGTGAGGGATGATCGAAATGATCGTCGGCAGTTGAGGGTAGAGGAGATCCTGGCCGAACAGGACCATTGTGGCGCGTGTCGACGGGAGACCTAAAACAATCCATTGGATTAGCCATGACTCAATCACAGGTACACCGAGTCCAGACGCACCCCCAATGCTGCCCGTCGGTACATCGTTGACACGACAATTGGAGAACAGACCACTTCGGTCAGGTCCAGCCGACAAAGTTGATGCGGGTACATATCACGTGATTATTCGCGATAAGGGGCATCGATAGGAGTTTTCCGCGGGAGAGAGCGAAGAGGGCAAAGTCGGAAATTTCGTCCAATTAGGGATCGCGCTCGGAGGTTCCTGAACTGCTTTAAAAGCAACGAGGGGTCCCCGTTTCCCTTCCCCAACGAGCCCGCGCAAGTATGGAGTCTGAAGCCTTCGAAGATCTGGAGAAGGGCGGCGGTGCCCTGCGCACCATCAAGGACTTGGCCTCTGGTGCTGCGGGTGGAATGGCTCAGGTTTTGCTGGGTAGGTGTGCCCGCTCGAGCAGTTTCCCGGAGGACGGAATTGCAAGAGTGCAATGCGCAGGAATACTGAACAAGTCCATGCTAACCTAATTATAGGACAACCCTTTGGTCTGTGGCCCGGTCGAAGCAATTGAACGCCCCGTACTGACCCTCCGCCCAGACATCGTCAAGGTGCGGTTACAAACCACCACGCAGTACTCGAGCGCGGTGGACTGCGCAAGCAAGATCCTCAAGAATGAGGGTCCGTTGGCCTTTTACAAGGGGACGCTGACCCCGCTGATCGGAATTGGCGCCTGCGTAAGTTGATTTCGCCCCATAATTGACCTATTATCTCTGTCTGACCAAATCCAGGTGAGCGTGCAATTCGGTGCATTCCACGAAGCCCGCCGTCGGCTGGAGGAGCTGAATAAGAAGAAATACGCCAATGGGGCTCTCTCCTATGGACAGTACTACATGGCCGGTTCGTTTGCCGGTGTCACCAACTCGGTGCTGTCTGGCCCGATTGAGCACGTCCGTATCCGGCTGCAGGCCCAGCCACATGGTGAAGGACGGCTGTACTCTGGCCCGATCGACTGCATCAAGAAGCTGTCCGCACACCAGGGTACGCTGCGCGGCCTGTTCCGCGGCCAGGCCGTGACAGTCCTGCGTGAGGCCCAGGCCTACGGTTCTTGGTTCATGGCGTTCGAGTACATGATGAACCAGGACGTCAAGCGCAACAATATCAAGCGTGAGGACATCTCGGCTGTCAAGGTTGCGACCTACGGTGGTCTGGCGGGCGAGGCCCTCTGGATCTCTAGCTACCCTCTCGACGTGGTCAAGAGTAAGATGCAGACCGACGGGTTCGGTGCGGAGCAAAAGTACAGTAGCATGCGTGACTGCTTCAAGAAGACTTATGCTCTTGAGGGTCTAGGTGGCTTCTGGAAGGGCATTGGTCCGACTCTGCTGAGAGCTATGCCTGTTTCGGCAGGAACTTTTGTTGTGTATGTTTCTTTCTCGGCTCTTTTACCAAGGATCATGCTAACTTCTCTGTCTCTCCTTTCAGTGTCGAGCTTGCCATGAAAGCCCTTGGATAGACTGTATTCTGGTATGTTTGTGCATTGTTTGGCTCTTTTTCGATATCCAGGACTCGTCAATGGCCCCTTTAGAAGATAAAAGTTGTATACAAGCGGTCTGTACTTATTTACGTCTGAGATATAAACCATTGTGTCCTACATCGCCAAAGAGAAATCTCCAAAAAAGTCCTGCCACGTCGTAGGAAAATAGAACAAATTCAACCCCGGAAAGTCCCACTCCGAGACAAACTGCTCCGGCACAAACCACTGCAAATCTGTCTGCGCATCAAAGAGCTCCCAGAACGGGGATGTAGCATCAATACCCCCCGTACTTGACTGTGGAGTTTCTCTCAGTGCACGCCCGTACTTTTCAATACTGACTTTCAGGATCTGTAGGTAGATATTCCCCGTCCGAGAGTGACTACCATTCGACCCGGCCTTGCTGAGCTCGTCCACCAGCCGATTCCCATACTCCAGAAACTCTTCGTGTTCTTCTTCGCGCTCAGGGAGAAGTCGGGATAGTTTTAGAAGCAGCAGGAATGAGAATGCGCATTTGGCCCAGACAAAGTCCATGGCATACTTCAATGTGGCGATGTATAACTGTGGTTCGGCGATGATGATGCGCAGGTGTCGAAGTGCACTGGATTTGGCTGTTAAGAGGACGTTTCGCTCGGTGGGAGTCATGGCGCTGGCATCAGCGTGTTAGATTCTATAGTCCAATTGCGAGGGTAGTACTTACGCCACGTTCTCGACGCCCATGGCTCGGAGAGCTTTGCAGTTAAGCATCATTTCAGCCCAGCATTTTTGGACTTTCAACGCAAGTAGTGAGAAAGGTTTCTCTTCTTTTGTGACCGTGGAGCTTTCTTCAAACGTAATAGTTAGTGGGAAACAGTATGGAGTCGAAGGGTAGAGTATACCGATTATGCGCATCCAGTCGCTACCAAGTATTAGTATTGATATGAGCCGAGAAAGGTAAGACTCACTCAAGCCATAGATCCAGATCAATCTTGACGTCGTGAACGAAGTCAACAATACTTGCCCTGTCAAGTGCTGCTTCAATGCCTAGAGTGTCGTTGATATTGGCTATCAAAGCAGGTGAGAATGTGAAAACCAGAAGAAGATGGGATGAAGTACCTCTCATGATGTTGAGCTGTCATAAATGATGTCAGTATATCTCTTAAATAGCTCTACAGTGAAATCTTACCTCGACCTGAGAAAACAGCCGCAGATCCAACGCAATGGACGACGGGTGTCCAAGCAAAACCCGGCACCGTCGAGGATTTCCCGTCAATCGAATTCCAGGAGGCTTCCCACCATCGACATGAAATCTAAGTTAATCCCAATTAGCAACTGTAGCTCCCCCAAAAGACAAAAGAGAGCTCTGTACATATGTTCCAGAACCAAAAGTCCAAACCAAGTCCTTGACTTCCTCATCAACTGTCTCTCTTCTTCCAAATCCGTGTCCGCAAAGCTATATCCTTCGTCGGCGTTTCTCATTGAAATCCGCTGCGTAAGTTCTTCAAAAGCATCATGTAATCCTAAATCTAGAGCCATGCGGGTTGCAAAGGATAGGATCAATAGACGTTCAGCTGAGTAGCAGGCGACCACGAGTAATGCCTGCACTGACTCGAGGCAGTTCAAGCGTTTGTTTTGAATAATCACGTTAATCCATTTCTTGAGTTCGGCGTGTAGCATGTCGGACATGGGGCCGCCGGATCCTATTTATAAAACTGTCAGATAGGGTGCGTTTGTTGGGGACAAGCAGGTTCGTACTGGTTTCGACCATGCAGCCGATGGTGCAAATAGCATTGAGGAGGATACTGCTTCGAGACCGTACAGAATTGAATGTGTCATGCTCTGGTTCGAAGATTGGGATATACCTATCCTACTCATGTAGATATATCGTTAGCATAAGTATAGGGCTTGATAGTTCAATACTCACACAACCTTCGAAGAACCTAGCAGTCCCATTAGCTCTTTTGGTCCAAGTATCCTCCGCAGAATAGAACTCACGTCTTGAAACACGACACAGCGCATTCAATGGTAATGAGACCTTTGTCAATAAAATCCGAGATAGGCTCATCCCGAATCTCAAATCCAGGGCGTTTCCGCTTATTTCCGTGAACGGGACTCAATCCCAGCGCATCAGGGTGTGGATTCATTGACATACCGCTGGGCGAGAGCGCGGGGATAGATTGCTGCGAGCGACCATCTGCATATCCTGATGAACCTGCTAACGCTAAAGCATCGAGGCCTTCATGGGGATGTGTGAACTGAGCGCATGATGAACCACGTCGAGCATGGACTGGTTCATTATGTAACTGTCTGTTGCAAGCATCTACCTCTTGAGATTCGGGCCTTGGATCATATTGATTACATTGGAGCAGGTGGCGTATCTCATTGAGCTGTTGTCTGAGGTGTTGGACCTCGGACTCGACACCATCAAGTCTTCTAGAGGAGTGTTAGTGGCCATGGGCATTTATTCTCCTTAGACAAGGCACTTACTCTGAAACGGGATCTTTGGGTACCTCAAAGAAAATGCACTGCTTGTCTAGTTTCTGGCATCTGCATAGCTCTGTTAGTAAGATCATCGCCAATGATAGGAAGAAACTCACCTTGTGCATGGTCTCTCTTCATCGCATCTAACCTACAGTGAAAGATCATTAGCTATCAACCAATTTTCTGTAAATTAATACTCACTTTCGATTGGCGACATGCACTGCATGCTTTCTAAGGTGATAATCCATCAGAAATCGGTCCTTGCGAGACAACCTAGGCTCGGGGTAGTGCGTACCGGGATGCGCTTTTTCCCAATCGGCGGCGGAACAATATGCAAGGATTCATCCGACTGCATCGCTGATCTAGCGCCGTCTTGTGCTGCTCAGCTCCCAGTCTGTATACGAAGTCGGGAAGGACAGAATGCATCAGACGCGGGGTTCGGGAGTTCCGCCGAATCAGTCCACGGTGCACGGTCGGGGATTGGTTGTGGGGAAGTGGGGTCATTTCAACACTGCAGAAATCCAATAGATTGCTTTTCTTGTGCTCAATTAAAATAGACTATCTCAATTTCAGTACCAATCGCCTAATACACGTATACAAAGTCCTCGTTCTTCATGTCCGTCATGTCCTTGAACGCATTGTCCTGAGCAAGTACCTGAATAGGCATGCCCTCCTTGTCTCTCTCCACAGCGCCAACAGCATGCATGGAGTAGTCTACGGTTTTGGCATCCTTTCCTAGTTCCACACGCCGCTTCTCGTGTTTCTTGTTCAGGACAGTCAGATATGCCATGTTTGACCTGGGCACCAATTAGTAGTAGCAGACTCCCGGATATGCAGGTACTTACGCGCAGAGAACAACCAAAACGCAGAACATTGCAAGGCTAAATGCTGATTAGATTATTTGAGCTCACGGTAATGGGACTGTACTTACTTTGAGGTGAGACCGCGGGTATAGAGAGGAGCCTCTGCTGTGGTATAGAGGTTCGGACCAATCACCTGGTTGGGTCAGACTTTGAGATTGCTTTGCTGCATTCAGGCTGCCTACATTACCGATGCATTGACCCACGACCAGGATACCGGTGGTCACTTTCTTCTTCGTCTCTCCGGCTGTGTTTGCTGCAGACCATGAGTAGATCAAGGGCGCTTGAGAGAGGTCAGTCGAGCTCGGATTTGGTCATCCAGTCAACACTTACTGATCCCCGGGTAAACAGAGATCTGGTCCGGTCAGTGAATAAGCTCCCACGAGGCTGGAGCTGCACTTACAATATAGTACCCCACAAGCAAAGGAGCTTTATGCATATCATCATGCGGAATACGAAGCAGCATCGCACATCCCGCAATGGGCGGAAGGCATAGCAGAATCAAAACCGGGCCCTTCATCTTCAAAAAGGTCGCCAGCCAGGCACCGCCCATAGTAGCAACGAGCTGGACAGCGCCAAAAGGGATATTGAAAAGAATGGTGTCGAGTTCGTTAAATCCAAAGGACTGGATGATCAAGGGGCCGAAGGTGGAGATACCGCCGCTCGGGATTCTGGGTACTGATCAGTTAAAGAAGCCGAACATCTTGGGAAAGTGTCTTACGAGATTGAGAACATCAACGCAAACCAGAACCAGGACTTGACATCAAGACATGCTTCTTTAACATGGTCCCATTTCCATTTGTCACTTTCAATACCTTGTTGGTTCATGCGGAGTCTTATGTGAATGTCAGTCAGTTTCCCAACACTTGGGGCACACATGGTTACCTCTCAATAGCCACAAGCTTATCCTCTTCTTGAAGAAATTTGGACTTGATAGGGGAATCCGGCATGTAAATTCTTTTGTGGATGTCAGACAGTTGTTACAGGGAAGGGGAAAAGTCTCTCACAGTATAACCACGGACAGTCCGACGGTGATGAGACCAAAGAAAATAAAAATAATCTATTAGATGTTTAGCGTCACATGTGTTTGCAATGAGAGGTAAAACTCACTTGGTAAGGAGCCAAGACCGGCGATTTGATATGCCCAAGTCCCCAAGTTAACAAGCTGCCAACCTGTAATGCATGTCAATATCCAATCAATTATACTTGAAGAACAAACTCCTACCATATTGACCACCCCGTTCATTGCGTACCATGATCCTAATCTCACAGGCTGCTCACGTCGCCGGTACCACATCTGGGTGACAGCAATAAAGGCCGGTGCTATTGCCTCATATTAGGACCCGCTATAACTTTCGCCTAAAAAGAAAAGACTCACCAATTCCCGCCTCAAACAGACCAAGAAGCAATCGACAAGTCAGCAGACCACCAAAGCTGCCTGCTGCCGTCATACAGGACAGCATAATCCCCCAAAGGAGGGTTGAGGCCGCCAGGAATTTTCCTAGGGGCAAAGTGACCAGACAATATGCCACCAACGGCTGGGCGACGAGCTGGGCAAGGTAAACCACCGAGCCCAGCCAGGAATACTCCTGGCCATGGAGGTGAGCTTTTTCAATAATCCCAAATACGGATGCATATGCAAGAGTCGACTTGTCAAGCTGTTGAAGAAAATAAATCCCTAGAAGAATAGGGAGAAGTCTGAGGTCGATCTTTCGCAGGACGTGCGCGTTGTTCTCTGGGGTCAAAATAGTCGAGTGACCTACGTCCTCGATCAGTTCCAGTGCCTGGTCTTCTTTCATGCCGTGGTCGGGACCAGGCGTAGAAGGTGGTGCTGCGTCAATGGATTCCACTTGCTCGTCCTGCTGCTGTTTTGGGGCGTCTGTCTGCGACATGGCTGGCACTTTGGAAGAAAGCTGGAGAATGACTAGAACAAGAGAAACGTCGTTCTAGATATGGAGTCCACCACCCCGTGGGGAGCAAACCTTAATTCCTCCTCGGACGAAATCCCGCAACCCCGACAACCTTGTCTAGTGCTGTGGCTTGACTCGATGACGGACAACCTCCGGGCGGCCCAATCAGTTGGCCGTCATGAGAGGGGCTTTGGTGAGAACGAGCCGGGGATGCTGCTTAACAAGGTTTAGCAGTCGGCTTTCGGATGTTGGACCGACCCGTGTGAATATTCTTCTCGTGTTTAGTCTGGGGATGTGGGGATGCTAGGATCCGGGGTGGCGGAGATGATCGGTGATGTGTCCCGATCTCCGTGTTTCTCTCATTCCTCGGTCTAATGAAGACCGCGGGGCAAAAGGGAGCGAATGATACAAATATAGCTTCAATTACGAGGGGGTTTTTTTTTTTTTTTTGTCATGAACTTTGATTTCCGATCCGAAACATCATGCCTCAGAAAGAAGTCTGCCCGCGAGGATACCAGCCGGTGCCCGTGCCAGCAGCGCACAATGAGACCTCGCTACATCTTCGCTCGACCAGCACCAAAGGCGAATTCGACTTCACCTTCGAGGCCGTCCGCCAGAACCTGTTCCGGGTGACGTTCACCTCGGCGGACCGTCCCATCCCTCCGTATCCCAGCGTCACAAAGCCGGCCACCGATCTACACAATGTGAATGTCTTCTCCAAGACCGATGCCTGCTCCAAGACAATGAATGTCGGCGACGTCACTGCCTCGGTAGAATGGGCACATACCCCCGTCCTCTCCCTGTCCTGGACAGGCTCCGATGACAAGCCACTACACCGCGATCTGCCATTGCGCTCATACGTTGCCGACGCAGCGGGGATCGCGCACTATTCGCAGCACGACCAAACCGCGCTCCATGTTGGACTTGGTGAGAAGCAAGCGCCGATGGACCTCACCGGCCGCAATTTCCTGCTCTCTGCCACAGACTGTTTCGGATACGATGTGTACAACTCCGATCCGCTCTACAAGCATATCCCGTTGCTGATCAAGGCCACGCCCGAAGGCTGCGTGGCTTTGTTCTCGACGACCCATGCTCGAGGCATGTGGTCTGTTGGCTCGGAAATCGACGGGCTGTGGGGTCACTTCAAGGTGTATCGCCAGGACTACGGGGGTCTAGAGCAGTACCTGCTTGTCGGCAAGACGATCAAGGATGTAGTTCGGTCCTATGCCGAGCTCGTCGGGTTCCCGTTGCTTGTGCCTCGGTGGGCATACGGGTATATCTCCGGCGGATACAAGTACACGATGATCGAAGAGCCGCCGGCGCATGTGGCCCTGCTTGAGTTTGTGGAGAAGCTGAAGAAACACGGCATCCCGTGCTCAGCGCACCAGATGAGTTCCGGGTACTCCATTGCAGAGACCGAACCTAAAGTCCGCAACGTCTTCACCTGGAATAAAAACCGCTTCCCGAGTCCCGAGGAGTACATTGCCAAGATGCACGCGCAAGGCATTCGGCTGCTAACAAATATCAAGCCGTTCTTGTTGGCCTCTCATCCGGACTTTCAGAAACTGGTGGATGCAGGTGGATTCTTCAAAGACCCCGAGACTAAAGAGCCGGGATACATGCGTCTATGGAGCGCTGGGGGAGCTACTGGTGGCGATGGATGCCATATTGACTTTACGTCCGAGGTAGCCTTCAAATGGTGGTACGACGGGGTGCAGAGCCTGAAGCGCGTTGGAATTGACGGCATGTGGAACGATAACAACGAATACACGCTTCCTAACGACGACTGGACGCTAGCTCTCGATGAGTCTATGGTGGGCAAGAAGAATGTCGAGAACTCGGTTGGGCTGTGGGGACGGGCAATGCACACGGAGCTGATGGGCAAGTCTTCGCACGATGCTCTGCAGGATATGGAGCCCAAGCTGCGTCCATTTGTCTTGACTCGGAGTTCCACGGCGGGGACGCAGCGGTACGCGGCTAGTTCCTGGAGCGGAGACAATGTCACCAGCTGGGAGAGCATGAAGGGTGCGAATGCGTTGTCCCTGAATGCCGGGATGTCCTTGTTGCAGGTACGAACAATCACGAGTCCTGGGATATGTACCTCTTTGCTGATAACATATAGTGCGAAGGACACGATATCGGTGGTTTTGAGGGTACGTCTTAGCCCTAACTGTCTAGATTTGACACGCAAAGAAACAGAACTAACCATATCTCTATGTCCATATCCAGGCCCTCAGCCATCACCCGAACTTCTCCTCCGCTGGGTCCAGCTAGGAATCCACTCCCCTCGATTCGCAATCAACTGCTTCAAAACCTCACCGGACAACTCCTCCGTCGGCGAGGTAATCGAGCCATGGATGTACCCCGAGATCACACCGCTAGTGCGCGATACGATCAAGCGGCGCTACGAAATGCTGCCGTACATCTACTCCCTAGGACTGGAGAGCCACCTGAGCGCAACCCCACCGCAGCGCTGGATCGGATGGGGCTTCGAGTCTGATCCGGAGGTGTGGACGAAGAAGCTCAAAAAGGGCGAGGAGCAGTTCTGGTTCGGTGACAGCATTCTGGTGGGAGGTGTGTACGAGGCCGGCGTCACAGAAGCAAAGGTGTATCTCCCACGTCGGAGCGGCGATTACGGGTATGTGAACATGAATGCGCCGTATGAGTACTTCGCCTCGGGGCAGTGGGTGTCTCTCCGGTCTGAATGGAGGGAGAGCATCCCCTTGATCGCGCGGATCGGGGGCGCGATCCCCGTTGGCAAGCCCGTTCACACGCGGGTTCCCGGCGACGATACGGCTGCTTCGCAGGCGGTGCAGGAAGTGGATGATTACCGTGGTGTTGAAATATTCCCGCCGAAGTGTAGCTCGCATGGCAATGTCTTTGCGAACACCTGGCATGAGGATGATGGGATCTCGCTCCATCCGGCGATGGCATCTTATACCGTCAGCTATAGTTCGACGGAGGAGAAAGTGCTGGTGGACTTTGTTCGGGATGAGAAGAGTGGGTTTGTTCCTGCTTGGAGACATCTAGATATCATTCTGCATCATGGGGATCAGAGGCGCGTGGTCTCGACTTCGGGGCAGGAGGTGTCGTACAAGGGGTGCGATGCCCGGGGTCGTGAGGTGTATACCATCAAGATGTGATGTGAATCCGGCATAGATGTATGTCTTATAGATGATAGAAGCCAACGTTCAGGAATATATTGAATTTATGGGCTGAGGGTTGCTGAAAAGGAATGGAAACTGTTAATACACAAAAAGGTATGATATGATATGATAAAACACCCAGAACCACAAAAATCACCTATTTGTACAATCCCTACTGGTTCTGCTTCTTCACCTGTTCGCTTCCAGGCGCAGTGCCCGTAAAAGGATCAAGACGCAGAGCCTGAGCCGTGATCGGCTCGTACGTAGTCTTTCCCTCCTTGGCCATCGCCATCCGCCGCTCCTGACCCGCCTCACCAGCCCGTCCCAAAATGCCCGCGATCAGGGTCGTCGCGCGCAAACTGTCATCGTTAGATGGGATGGGGTACGTCACCCGCGTGGGATCCGCGTCGGTGTCGATGATGCCAATAGTTGGGACATTATTGAGACCGCACTCATGGAGAAGCACCACGTTTTCCAGCGGATTGAGACAAACCACCAGGTCAGGCTTGAGAGGCGGCCGATCCGCAAGATCCGCCTTAAACTCAGGCAACTCCTCGTCTAGTGCATTAACAACCTTCGTCTCACAGTGTCCCAGAATCTGCTGTCCATTCGTAAGACTGCCTGGAATCCACCTTTCAAAAATATGGTACCCCCTCGCCAACTCGGCAGCCCGGACGACGGACTGCTTCTGGCCCTTGCGCGTGCCAGCGAACAGAATCAGCCCGCCGCGCGCGGCGACTTCTTCGACGACCTTTGCCGCGCGCCGCAGATACGCGGCTGTTACGTCCAGCGAGATGATGTGGACGCCTTCGCGGATGCCGAAGATGTACCGCGAGTTCTGCGGGTTCCAACGCGAGGTCGAGTGGCCAAGATGCGTCTGCGAGGCGAGAAGGAGCTCGAGCGTGATGTCTGAGGGTTTGGGCGGGTTTTGGAGGAGGGAATCTGGGTTGTAGGCTGTCTTCATAGAGGTTCCCATTCTATTGAAGCGATGTCCTAAATAATGTCAGTGGCTTGGAATTTATGAGACGGACGGTCTAAGGTAAGACTGACGGTGCGTCGCCTCCTTCTTCCAACTCGCTTGGCCAGGTTCTGCCGGTGCCACCGGGACAATTTCCTCTGTGATCTTCTCCGGTTCGGCCTCGGGCAATGGGGTTTCTACCGCTGGCTCCATCGGTGGTGGTGTTGGTATCTCGGAAGAGAAAAAGCGACCGGCGACCGGAGACCGGCGCAGGGCCAGGAATTGGCGGCCTGATGGAGATTAGTTGCTTCCTGGGGATATCAATTGAAAGGAGAAACATACCTCGCCGCGCTGCTAATTGCCGTACAATCATGGCTGACTGGGGATGGTTGAATGGATGATGGAGAATGGGAAGGACGAACTTTTGGCGGTTGGCCTTGGCAAGTGGTGCCTTGGTGCCTGAGGCCAGAAGGGTTCCATGGATGCGGTATTATCCATGGTTGATCTAGATAGGGAACTAACTACTTGTCAACAATCGGGACGATTTGGATCATATAGTCAAATTGTTGAATACACGGCGACTATTAGATTGTACAATGAAAAGGTACATCAGTTTGGAATCACTGAAGCAGGGTCGATCACATTGCAAGGTCGTTATGAGGATAAAAGTAATTTAATACCAGCGCATCATACAAAAGCCTCGCCGACATCATCAGAAAAGAGAAAGAAAGCAAAAGCCAACACCCGCACAAACGTAACGCAATCCGACAGAGTCGGAAGAACAAGCATGGAAATTCATCAGCCCCGCAGATTCATCATGCGAGAAGCACCTATTTCTTGTTGAAGAAGCCGCCCAGGTTATCCATCATGGAGCCGCCATGCGAGGACGGGGGACCATAGCCGGGGGGAGGACCACCGTATTGGCCCCCCTGGGGAGGGCCGGAGCTCATCTCCTCGCGGCTCTTGTGCTTCTTGATGGCATCTTCGGCAATGCTGCCCATGATGGCGCCACCGATCGTTCCGAGGAAGCCGTGGTTGGCCTTGTGTCCGGCCCAGGCGCCGCCGGCACCGCCGACCAGGGCTCCAGCCAGACCGCGCTCGCCTTCTTGCGCTTCGCCCGGTGCGCCCTGCTGCTGCTGCTGTTCATAGCCACTAGGGTTGGGGTTAGTCTGTGTATGTGGAAGGGAAATGATAAGGGAATCTCCAACTCACCCCTGACGGTAGGAGTCCTGCTGACCATACTGTTGCTGCTGCTCGCCGTACTGCTGCTGGGGCTGGCCGTGCTGGGGCTGTTGCTCGTAGCCCTGGTTGTAGCCACCGTACTGCTGCTGTTGGGGCTGCTGGGAATAGCCACCATACTGCTGCTGCTGGTCGTAGCCGGGTTGGCCGTACTGGGGCTGCTGCTGACCATAGCCCTGCTGACCATAACCCTGCTGGGGAGGGTAGCCCTGGCCGTAGCCTTGGTTGTACTGGTTGTAGGGATCAGACATGGTTGGTGGAGGTGGAGGGGAAGAGGATGATAGGAATGAAGATGATGAAGATGATGAAGAGAAAAGAAGAGGAGGGGCAGGCGCGAGTGTTTATAAGTAAGTGTACAGTCACAGGGCTGACACCCCACATGGCCAAGAAGGCGCAGTTCGACTGAGCCACACTTGAACCGATGAGTGATTATTCTTAGTTGCGGTAGGATCCGGTGTACACAGGAGCACAGGTACTGAGTACACGTACATAGAACACCGCCACACCGTGTGGCAATGCTACGAAGACAATCCTATGTTCGCACGACTTGCTGAAGGCGTTCTTCTATATTTGTCGGTTCCGGATTGCGCGGCTACCCATCGGCGCTAACTACCGAGTACACGTACTCTGGGCTGGGCACTGCAATTATGACAATCATAATTTTTATCCGGTTGCCTATTACAGGAATATTATTATTAACAAGCGAGACTCTGTCCACTAGTTACCGGGATCCCATCTATAACCCACCCTGCCCTAACACCAACCCGTCGATGACCAACTCACCCGATCAATATTATGATTGTCATCCAGCCCAATCAAACTATACACTCCAGATGCATCTGACGCGATCACGCCGATCGGAGATCACGTCGTGCTACCCTACCCGCCAGACCCACTGGCTAGTGGTTTCCTGCATGGCAGGACCGACAAGAGTGACAGAGCCCCTGCAAGAACCTACATACAGACACATAAATAAGCCTAATCATGGCAGAAAAGAGATTAGATTGACCTTCAACTGTATCCAAAAGTTGTTGGACCAGACTAGGAAATGTGGTTGTTATTATTCTTTGTGTACCTTGGCCTCGGCCTCGCTCACGCCCGCGCCACTGTCTACCTCATCCGACACGGCGAGAAACCGGCCGATCCGGCAGACCATGGCCTCACCCTAGACGGCATGCAGCGCGCGCAGTGTCTGCGTCATGTCTTTGCCCCCGAGTCCAGCTATGAGATTGGACATATCATGGCGCCGAGGGTGAAATGGAGTAAGCTTACGAGCTCCGCATTGCATTAACCCGGAAAGACCTAATCATGCCGAACTAACTAACTTCTTTTTGGGCTAAAGATGGCGCGCACAGACGTCCCTATGACACCGTCCTCCCGCTTGCACTCGATCTCGGTCTTGATATCGACACGTCCTGTTCCCGGAACGATGTCGAGTGTGTCGCGGAGACGGTTCTGTCCTATGAGGGCCCCGGAAATATCTTGATTTCCTGGCGTCATAAACGAATGCGTGAGATTGAGATGTTGTTGGGTGTTCTAGAGCCACCGGAGTATCCGTCAAATCGGTCAGTGATTTGTTTTTTTCTTTGCATTATGTTTCTGACAACTAGTAGATTCGACCTTATCTGGACGACTCCTTATCCCTATGAAAATATCACGGATATTCGGAGTGAGGAGTGTCCTGGGTTGGATTCGGCGGCAGGACTTGTGGTGCAGGGTTGATGAGATGGTGGATAGTATAGGGCTTTGTGGGGAATTGACAATTTTCGCAGTCCTTGACGTCGCATCTGATAAGCATCGCATGTAGAGGTTATTCAGTTCAATTTCTAGCATGGTAACTATCACTTGGAATCACTTGGATGCACACGCAGTCGATGCTGTAGGCAGGATACCATATAACCATCTGCCAGTATGTTCGATACGAGTTTACTACGTAGGAAGTATATTAGTGAGACAAGTAATAGTTTCACTGCTAATCTATTCCTAAAGAGCAATTCTTCATTGATCATTCTCATCTAAAACAAGTTAACTTGTTAGTTATACTTGGTGAGTATGTAAGCAGAAAAAAATGTTTGGCGGTGAGGCAGCCGAGCGGAGGCTTTTCCTCATCCCCCAAATTTTTCGAGACTCCCGTTCGCTAGCCACGCTTGTCCTTCACACTGTAGGAAAGATGGACGACATCGAGGTATGTATACCATACCCCCTGTGATGAACTAGACTGACATTCCCAGGAACGGCTGCGAAGCCACGCACAGGCCTTCGACGGCCTGCTGTCTTTGATCCCCGCCAAATACTACTACGGCGAGGAAAATAATGTATGTCCACCATCCTTTTCTGGCCAATCTGATTCTTACCTTGTATTCCTCTAGGATCAATGGAAGCGCAAGAAGCAGACCAAGGAGCAAGCCCGCGAAGCCAAGCGTGCAAAACTCGACCCCGAGTCCGCCAAAACGGCCAAAGATGTCATGGACGAGAACGCACGCAAGCGCAAGCGAGAGGCTGGTGCAAGGGACTCTGATTCCTCGGACGGAGAGCTTGGCTCGGAAGCGCCCAAGGAAGGATTGAACCGTGGCAACGCAAAACCCAAGAAGCAGAAGCAGGCGGAAGATCCTGCGGCGGCGGCTAAGTCAGCGGCAGATGCACAGGCCAGGAAAAAGGAGAGGGAGGAGAAAAAGGCTCAGAAAAAGGCTACTCAGAAGGAAAAGAAGAAGGCTAAGGAGTCGGCCAAGAAGGAGAAGCAAAATCAGCAGGCTGAAAAGCCTGCACCCGCTGAACCAGAGGAAGCCTCCGAGGCTGAAGATGGCGATGAAGACGGTGAAGATATCGCTGCCGAGGAGGGATTCTCTTTCCAAATGGACCAGCCCTCATCTGCCTCCTCTACGCCCAACTCCCCCGATGCCTCCAACCCCCAATCCGGCAGCTCGTCCATCTCATCCATTGTTCCCCCCACCAACTCCGAGTCAAAACCTCTCAAACCAACCCCCGAAGAGCTGAAGCAGCGTCTCCAAAAGCGCCTGGACGAACTGCGAGCCAAGAGACACGCTGACGGATTGAACGGCAAGCCAGCCCGCAACCGCCAAGAGCTCATCGAGGCTCGGCGACAGAAAGCTGAACAGCGCAAAATGCACAAGAAGGAGCTGCGGCAAAAGGCCAAGGAGGAGGAACAGCTCAAAAATGATGAAGCCATGGCACGGAGATTTTCGCCCGGCGGTTCGGGGTCGCTCCTTGCTTCTCCTCGGTCGCCCGCTGATTCCGTGGGGTCCGCGTCCAACAATTTCTCCTTTGGGCGCGTTGTTTTCACAGATGGCCAGCTTGTCGACTCGTCATTGTCGGGCGTGAGCGACAAGCCCACCCAGCGCGGTGCCAAGGACGCAGCCGGGCAACTCAAGGTCGCCGAAGCGAAGAAGGCCCGTCTGGCCGAGATGGACCCGGAGAAGCGCGCTGATATCGAAGAGAAGGACCGCTGGTTGAACGCCAAGAAGCGTGCACACGGCGAGCGCGTCCGTGACGACACTTCCCTGCTGAAGAAGGCGCTCAAGCGCAAGGAGTCCGCGAAGAAGAAGTCTGAGCGCGAGTGGAGGGAGCGTCTTGACACCGTTGCCCGGGCCAAGGACCATAAGCAAACCAAGCGTGAAGAGAACCTGCGCAAGCGGCGAGAGGAGAAGGGCAACAAGGGCAGCAAAGGGAAGAAGGCTTCTGGTGGGGGCAAGAAGAAGGCCAGACCTGGGTTTGAGGGCAGTTTCAAGGCCAAGACGGGTGGGAAGAAGAAATGAGGATGTGAGCCGAAGGGAAAAAAGTGATTTCTGACTGAGACGAGACGAAGATATCCGTTCTTGGTGTCTGGTGTTTTATATTGCGCTGTTTCGACGGCATCCTGTTTCTATCATGCATAGGTAGCGATTTGGTTCTTCTGTGAATATGATTATGTTCTCAAATATGATTGTTTTTCAACAGTATGAATATATCAGATTTTTTCTTGATTGTAACCTTGTAAGGTGCTAGTCCAAGACATAGGAAAAAGAAACGACAACGGGAGACTCGAACAGAAACTTCTTTCGAGATCAAGTACAGGAGACAGACGGGGGCACTTTATATACAGGATGTGTGTTTGGGGGTAATATTGTTCTTTTGGTAGAGTGTGTAGCCACCAAGGCCAGTGATTTATCGGTAGGGCGCATCGGCACGAGCAGCAGCCGCAATCTCAGGCTCCCACTTGTCACCGTTGGCCAGCAGCTTCTCCTTGTTGTACAGCAGTTCCTCACGGGTTTCGGTAGCGTACTCAGCATTGGAGGCTGGGGAACAGTTAGTATTATGTCCTGTCTGTCTTATATCCCGAGGGGGGAAAACACTCACTCTCGACAATGGCATCGACGGGGCAGCTCTCCTGGCAGTAACCACAGTAGATGCATTTGGTCATGTCAATATCATAACGGGTGGTGCGGCGACTTCCATCCTCGCGCTCCTCGGCCTCAATGGTGATCGCCTGGGCCGGGCAGATAGCCTCGCAGAGCTTGCAGGCGATGCAGCGCTCCTCACCGGTGGGGTAGCGGCGCAGGGCGTGTTCACCACGGAAGCGGGGAGAGATAGGACCCTTTTCGAAGGGATAGAAGATGGTGTACCTGAAATGAATTGACATGGTGAGAATGGTGGGCTCGTAGATTTCGCAATTTCCGTCCAGGGTCGATAACTTACGGCGGGCGGAAGAACTGCTCCAGCACCACGTACATGCCGCGGAAGATCTCGGCCATCAGGAAATACTTGCTGGCCTTGTCGAGTGACGACTCGCCACTTTGGTCCCATCGCTTGGGCGGGGGCAGACGAAAGCCCGCTTGGGGAGGGCCAGCAGGCGTGGCGGCGCGGGCGGCCGAGGTGGAAAAGGGAGCTGAGGAGATGATGAATGGGGTACGGCGGACAGCAACCAGCCGGGAAACCGACATGGAGGCCATGATGGGCGACAATGGGGAAGGTCTGGAGGAGGTGGTTGAGGATGTGTGCTTGGAGGAGTGGAAGGAGTGGAAGAGGTGTTGGTCATGAGTAAGCAGGTCATTCGGAAGAGTTGGCGGCTGATTGGCTGTAACAGGATTTTGCTTCCCGAGCACCACCGACTGTGACTTGCTCTCCTTTGTTACCGATTTTCTACCTCCCTTCACCTCTCCCATACACCCCCTCCCATCATCATGTTCCGCTCTGCCATTGTGCGCTCCCTGCGGGCCTCGGTGCCTCGTGCTATCCGCCCATCCACCCCCTTCCTCCGCAGCTCGCCCGTCGTCGCGCGTGCGCAATTCCAGCCCTGTGCTGTCTCCCAGGCCATCCGCTTCTACTCTGCTCCCGCTGGTCTGGACAAGAACGAGGTCGAGGGCCGGATAGTGAACCTGCTGAAGAACTTTGACAAGGTGCGTGATGGCGCGTTAGGATACAATTGTGCGGTCCATGCTAATGAGAGTGTTGATACAGGTCACCGATGCCAGCAAGGTCAGTTTGGGATTGCTCTCTACTCGACCCAACGAATCCCAACTAATACCCAACAGATCAACGGCGCCTCGCACTTCTCGAACGACCTCGGTCTGGACAGTCTGGATACCGTCGAGGTGGTGATGGCTATTGAGGAGGTATGTGTGGCTGTTTCCCTCGGAGAAGGCAAGGACGGTATATCTGACACTGCAGCAGGAGTTCAGCATTGAGATCCCCGACAAGGAGGCCGATCAGATCCTCAGCGGTATGTGCAACAGCTTGCGAGATAGGGAAAACACAACGCTGACCTCAGAACAGTGGACAAGGCAGTCGAGTACATCCTTGCCCAGCCCGACGGTATGGTTCCCCCCTGTCTCTTCCCTTCTGCCTCTTTGTCTTCCCGTTGCTAATTGGTCTCTAGCCCACTAATTGACTAGTTGCCGGGTTGGGAGGATCGAATAGAACGGTCTGAATGTATTCGGAATCCATGTGGTTTTTTGGTCCTTTCTCTATCGTGTATATCAATCCCAATGCTTTCTACTCTAAGCCTGTCGTTTTTCCCCCTTCTATAAATTGTGTAGTGAATCACTCTGATGGTCGTCGCTGGATCGGGCTCAACACTGGACCAAAGACCACCTAAAGAATCCCGAAGCGGACCCGACCTGCCAACTGCAACATTTCTTTCACTATTTCCGCCCACGCCCTTGTATCCCACACCAACCATTACCTTCGTCTACCTATCTGCCTACCTATTACAGCCAGTCGGTTGACTCCCATCGTACTCACTCGGTCGGGCACGCGGCCTTTGGATCTTCCCGCCCCTGACACCGAAAAAGTCCCACTTCCGCAACTTCTGATCTTCTTCCCCCCAACCAAACTCAACCCAACACACTTTTCTGCTAGCTCACAACCACCCCTAAATGTCCGCAGCCGGGGGCCTGACTCGCCGACGAGGCGGCGGTCGCGCTGGCGAAGAGCAGGATGACAGCCGCGTGTCGTCGCCGGTCTCGCGGAACGGCTCTGCAATGGATAATCGAGGTCCCGAAACGTCCTTCACCAACACGGAGAACGGCCACAAGATCGCATTCGACCCGCGCGACCTCAGCGAAACCGCCGAGCGGAGCAAGCAACCAAAACTGACGCTCATGGAGGAGGTGCTGCTACTGGGACTGAAGGATAAACAGGTGCGTGATGGCGACTTCTGTTCGAACCCAGCTGGTGGTCTAATCGCGCCATAATAGGGATACCTCTCATTCTGGAACGAGAACATCTCCTATGCCCTGCGAGGGTGCATTGTCGTCGAGCTGGCCCTCCGTGGTCGGATAAGCATGCAGAAGGACTCGTCGCGGCGCCGCTTCCCCCTGGCCGACCGCGTGATCGAGGTTATCGACGACACATTGACGGGCGAGGTCTTGCTGGACGAGACGCTGAAGATGATGAAGTCGAGCGAGAAGATGAGCGTGAATACGTGGATCGATCTGTTGAGCGGTAAATCATCTTGCGTGTCTTGTCTCGTGGCCCAAACTGACTCTTTCCTTTCTTGGCAGGCGAAACATGGAATCTCATGAAAATCGGCTATCAACTCAAGCAGGTGCGCGAGCGCTTGGCCAAGGGTCTCGTTGACAAGGGAATCCTTCGCACCGAAAAGCGCAACTTCCTCCTCTTCGACATGGCCACCCACCCTGTGGCCGATGGCGGCGCCAAGGATGACATCCACCGCCGTGTCCGCAACATTTGCAGCAACCGCACCGTCATCATCCCGCCCACCACCTGGCTCCCCGAGGATTCCGAGTACCGGTATCTGCGCACGGTGGCCATGGTTTGTGCGGCATATGCGGCCAACGTGCTGGAGAATGCATTGGTGACAATGAGCCACGAGGCACGTGAGCGGGCCTTTGCTCAGGTGGATGAACTGCTGGCCGAGTACTCGCAATGGCCGTTTGGGCGACGGGCAGGCGGCTCGCAGGCCATCGGGGCGAACCTGGCCTCGATGATCAATGAGGAGATCAACCGGAACAAGGATAGAGAGCTCCAGATGGAGGTACGTTTTCCCTGTCTCTATCTTAGAGGGAGAAAGACCATATACTAATTACTGTTCAGATTGTCGCGGCATGCTTGAGCGTTTTCACCAGACTCGATTCGTTACTTTGAACCGGGGTGTACCGTAGTTCTTTTTTCCTATCTCCTTCACTTCCTTCTGTTCGCTCATGTAGTTTCTGTTGTCAAGCGGGCGGACTCTTTTTTCATAAGGTCAAAATGTCACGGGTCTTTTTTTTCATTTCATTCATTTTCAGTATCCAAATTCCTCAATTGACGCGCACCACCATCATGCCTCCCCGTCGACTGCCCGCCGTGCCCGCCGCCCCAGACGCCAACAAGTCCGCTGAATTGACCAAATCCACCACCGTCTCCGGCACACCACGCACTCTCCCTTCCTCAATCAATGCTCCAATGCGCATCATCGCCACGCCATCCGGAGCAACAGCTACAAGCTTACTACGCAACCCCCGTTCCGGAGGAACAGCCTGCTGCGCGGGGCGCGAGTCCACCGCCGTCAAGACGGCGCCATAGTTCCGCACCACGGCGGCCTCGTGCGCCTGCCGGTACACTTCTCCGCCGGCGCAGTCCAGCACAACATCAACGGCCTCCCAGCGCCGCTGCCGGAACATCGCCGCCAGATCGCACTCGTTGCGCGCAGGCAGGTGCGGGATCACTAGCACCTCGTCGACATCCCACTCGCGCTGCACGATGTCTGCCTCTGTCGCTGTGCAGCTGACGCAGATCCACGGCCGCACGGGGAATAGCTTGTCCGTCCGCAGTAGCTGCACCGCTAGCCGGCCGACCTCGTTATCCCGCGCGTTGGTGACCAGCACCCGCAGCGGTGGCACTTTCTTGCCATGCCCATTGCCATTGCCACTGACCTTCTTAAAAAGGCCATGTCCATTACCATTACCATTTTTCCCATCACCATTGCTGTGATTGCTATTCCCCTTCTTATCATGACTGATCCCATCCCCCGTGGCGTCGGGGTTCAGTCCCGCATATCGGAAGAGAGCCTGCCACGCCGTGAGCGCCGGCAACGCCACAGCGGCTGCTTCAGAGGCACTGATATTCTGGGGCTTAAATGCCAGCTCGTCCTCGACAGCGAGCGCATAGTCCGCCGCGCCGCCATCACGGATGTAGCTAATCAGGCCGAAGACGACGTCGCCGATCTTGAACCGCGGACCGGACTGCTGCTCGTGGTCTGCGGCGGGCGTGCTAATTACTGTCCCGCACAGGGAATGCAGTGGGATTTGCGGCGTGGTCGTGGTGGGACTGAGCGTTCTGGCGAGTCGTAGCTCGTCGTGACAGAATGCTGCCGTTTGGATCTTCAGTAGGTACTGCTGTGCTGATGGTTGGGGCGTTGGGAACCCTGTGTCCATGACTAGGCGACCTGGACCGGTGAGGAGGGCTTCGCCGGGCTCCTCATCGGCTGTTGCGGGTATTGGGAGGTGGATGGTGTAGTACAGGGCGCGCATGGAGGGTGGGATAAAGGTTTGCTCGTTCATGGTTGCTGAGGCGGGCTTGGCTGGTTTCATTTTGAATGCGACTGCTCTAGTGAATTGCTTGTCAGGTACTTTTGAATTATCTACATGCTACAAGGGGGAGTATATACATGTCCCAAAAATGGCCTAACCCTGACGTATGGCGATTATATCAGCATTGCCTCAATAGAACTATGTATATACCACCTGGGCAAGTATTCCCCAAGTGAATAAATATCTGTCTGAAATATAATAACAAACAATCAACTACAGAGCCTGGTCCTCCATACCCAAACCATCCACAAAACCATACAACTTCTGCGGATCCTCAAACACCGTCCAAACGTGCTTCGGAACACCCTTGAACGCCTCCTCAAACCTCTCGGCCTTATTCTTCTCCTCCATCCCCTGAACATTAGTCACCTTACGAATAATAATAGCATGCACCCAGTCTGGATACTTCCGATACATATCTCCATAAGCCTCCGGATCCTTCTGCGTCGAATCGCCAATACAAAGCACCCTCCGGCGCGGGAACCAGCGCCGGATCTTCTCCATGCGATCAACCTTGTACTCGTGCGTCTTCTCCGTGAACGACTTGATCAGCCCGCTGAGGTCTAGCCATGAGTAGTCGCGCAGCACCAGCGTGCCCGCGCAGTACGTGCTGTGCAGGAAGCCGTGCAGGAATGGGTATAGGTTGTAGGGGGACGCGCTGAGGTAGAACCAGGTCGGGTTGAGCTCGGCGTGAACGTGTTTGTAGAATTCCGGCATGCCCGGCGTGGGCTGCGGGTCATCGACGAAGGTCGTGCGTAGAATCCCCGTCGTCTCGGGAGTCTGTGTTATCTTGATCGTGTCGTCGATGTCGGAAACCACGAGCCAGCCTTCTGGCTTCGCGAAGACCGTGTTCGTCGGCATCTCCATGCTGAACCCCTGGACCTGCGGCTGCACGCTCATTCCATCTGATATACCCTCGCTGGACATATCAACCGTCTGACTGATAATCCCATTGCGATCCGAGGGACCCAGCGCATGCATCTGCTCCGATTCAAGCAGCGTCAAGGTCCTTGCCGGGGAGACGGGGTCAAGAAACGGGCGCACGCGGTCCTCGATGCGTTTCCGGACAACGTTGTCGCCGCCCACTTCGCCATCAATCCCAACCTGGTCTGCTATGTTCGCAACGAATTTGCCGATATCGTCTCGGCCTTCCTTCTCGAAGATGCAGGCGACCACCTCGGCCTGCCATTTTCCGTCGTCGTTCTGGTATGCGGTGTTGTCGAAGAGCCAGACGGAGTTCTTGGTGGCATCTGCAGGCCGCGCGAGCGGGTTCTTTGCGCCGAGGATGGAGGTGAAGAAGTTGAGGACGCCCGCGGAGCCCCGCCGTTCTAGCGGGGGCGGCGAGGTTGGGGTGGTGGATTCGCTACTCTCTTCTTGAGTCGGGGGTTGTTTGGTTGAGATTTCGGTGGGGGTAGCCATGGTTGGTACCAAGTCTGTTAATGAAAGTGGCCAAAAGAAAAAAAGCAGAAAAGCTCCGAGGGACAGGAAGCAACTAACCCACATGTTAAGACTAGTTCGTCAGTCAGGGGCGGGAGCGACGCTGATCATATAGCTAGCCCGTTCGTGAGTTGGTTGACTTCGTTAGTGCGCTTATTACTTCAGACCATTCAATCGGACCATTCAATCTGGTTTGGACGCCTCATGGCTGTGTCGTTGGTGTTCGTATAGAGCCAGCACCCCTGTCAATTTGTGCGTCATGCGTATCTATTAGCTGTCTGATCGGGGCTGTGTCGTCTGCCTCTCATCAGTTGACAGCCAGTCAGTCAGTCAGTCAGTCAGTCAGTCAGTCAGCCAGCCAGTGAATGGATGGCAACTGATAACTGACAAACTACCACTACCGCCACAACTATATATCAACCAGCACTATACTGTATTCCAGGTCCATCCCACGTGAAGCCATCTATAGTCTTGCCATAACAGTAAATTATCAGCAAAGTCTAAGAATCACTTGAGCTCTATTTTCTTTCTAGAATGACGGCGGTGTGGCTCAATGGTAGAGCATTTCTCTCCTAAGGAAAAGGCTGAGGGTTCGAGTCCCTTCATCGTCGACTCCACAGGATTATGGAACTCCATAATCCTCTTTTTTTTGTCTTAAATCTTTGCAAATAACGGAGGAGAGGGTTCTTTTTGCTTAAAGAGCGCTGTAGGTGACCGTCTGGTCTGATCTGAGGAGGTTGGCGTTCATCAGTTGACTGGGTCAAGCGGACATCCTATCATCTCGCTGAGAAGAATAGTATACTTGGCAACAGGGCTGAGACTGCAGGTGTGCCTCGTGGGGTCTTCCGAGTCTTTTTCAGCTCGTATCTGAGTACTACGCAAGCAGATGAGATGAAATGCAGGTTCTCCTTCCATTCTTCTAACTAGTTCCTGCTCCTACTAAAATATACTAACCCCAAGACATGACCCAAAAAAAAAGTAGTAGATTAAATGCAAAATGCTAATGCCATCCTCTCCCAATTACATCCGCCAGACAAATAATCAGGTCTTGCCCTGGGTATCCTTAAGAGAGACGATCTGATTCAAGACAATCTTATCAGGCGTCGAGTCGCGATCAACCGCAAAGTACGCAACCCGCATACCCTGAAAGCGGATCGAGTGCTGGTTCGTTGTCAGATCGCAGGTCTCGGCATTCTTCTCCTCCTTCGGCCAAGGCGCCGAGGCAGAGATATCCCGGAACCCAGTCTCAATGCAGGCATCCTTGTAGATCAGCTCGGAGTCCGGGTTGATATCAGCCAGGAAGCCGCCCGGGTGTGCGGAGGGATCCTCGGACTTGAAGAGCGGGTTGAAGATGCGGATCTCGGCGCGCAGCGGGCTGTTATGCGCGGGGGACTCGCCGACCCAGTGGATGAAAGCCTTGCCCTTCTTGGGCGCAGCGCCTTCTTCGGGTTTCTCGTATTTGGCATATACGCAGGTGACGGTTCCCGTGGTAGGGTCCTTGTCGAAGGAGGTTGCGGTGATGGGGTAAGGCACTCGCAATAGACCGACGGTCTTGCCGGGCGCGAGACGGAAGTAGTCGGGTGAGTCGACCTCGCGGAAGTCGGAGCGTTCGATATACACCGTCTTTGTGAAGGGGACGTTGTGTGTGCCGAAGGAGGGTTCCTTGGAGAAGGGAACGTCCACCATCTCGACGTGGTCGTCCGGCAGGCCGTCGATGACCACCTTGAGGGGTTCCAGGACAACCATGAGCCGTGGCACGGTGGTCTCCAGGTACTGGCGCACGATCTGGTCGAACTTGGCCATTTGGACGTTGATCACGGCCTTGGTGACACCGAGGTCATTGACGAACGACAGGATTGCGCCCGGCGGCACACCGCGACGGCGGAGCGCGATGAGCGTGTACAGACGGGGATCATCCCAGTCGCGAACATGACCCTCCTTGACGAGCTGAAGAATCTTGCGCTTAGAGAGCACAGTGCCCGTAATATTGAGTCGACCATACTCGCGCTGCATAGGTCGGTAAACCTCCAGCTTGTCGCAGAGCCACTCGTACGAGACACGGGAGAGCTCGAACTCCGTCGTGCACAGCGAGTGCGAGATCTCCTCAATGCTATCGCACAGACAATGCGCAAAGTCGTAGGTCGGGTAAACCTTCCATTTCCCTCCGGTCCGGTGGTGCTGCTTCTCCTCGCTATCCAAGATGCGCCACGCGAACAGATCCCACATCTGCGGGTTGGGATCCTCGAGATTTTGCTTCATGCGCAGCGCCGCCTCACCGGCCTTGTATTTCCCATCCCGCATAGCCCGAAATTCTGTGAGAGACTCGTCGGTCGGCCGCGAGCGGTGGCTACATGCGAAGCGCTCCCCGCCACGCTGGCCGCCCTCGCCCTCGCCGCGCTGAGCTTTGATCTCGGCCTTCGTGCAGTGGCACACATAGGCCCCGTCGCGCTTGATCAGATCCTCCGCGAGCTCGTAGAGCCGGTCGAAGTTATCGCTGGCACATGTCTCCCGCACGGGCGTGAATCCCAGCCAGGACACGATATCGCGAATGGCGTTGTAGTACCGCTCGTCCTCGCCTTCGGGGTTGGTATCGTCAAAGCGCAGGATACACTCGCCACCATAGTATTTCGCGAAGCCGAAGTTGATCGCGATGGCCTTGCTGTGGCCAATGTGGAGGAATCCGTTGGGCTCAGGCGGGAACCGGGTGCGAATCTTGGTGACGGTCTCCGACAGGGGCTTCTCCTGGTAGACATCGGACAAGAAGCCTATCTTGAACATGGAATTGGGGTCGCGGGGTGCAGCGGGTTCGTTGGCCGCCTTTTTGGGCTTGGGCTGGCTCTCCTTGGGCTTGGGGTTCGCCTTCCTCGCTGCCTTTTCCCTCTCTTTCTGCTCCTTCTTCAGTCTGCTTTTGGAGATGGTTTCTGAGGCCTCCTTGGGCCGCTCGGGCAGCTCAGTGGGCTTTGCTGGGTCCATGGTGACTGAACAAGACAGACAGCGGAGAGGAAAAACACAAAGGAAGTCAGTAGTGGCGGGGGGGGGATGTTTGAAGATAGTAGAAAAGATAGCAGATGGGCTTATCAGTGCTTCGCTTAGTGGGTGACTCAGACCCCCCACGTGACCCGGTGATCTATACAAAACAAAGTCGAGAAACGAGAAGTCTAATATTGACTGGGTATGGTAAGATCTGTACAGATAAGAATGAAATGCGCCAATGTCCATCCGGAACCAAAAATCCACCCCAACAAGTAAACGATACAAAGAACAAATGGTAGTCACCATGATATGTGCACCGGAGAAGACTGTTGGAGTCATCTCCATGATATGAGTAAAAAAATGTCGTGTGGAATGTACAAGCAGAGATAGAAAATGAACCAAACCGGGTCGAGCAACATGCGGGGTATATGGCGAGCAGAGTATCGAGTAACAAAAAAGAGAGAGAGGGAGAGAGGGAGGGAGAAAGAAGAAGAAAAGGAAAAGAGACAACAGTTAGAAAAGTTGCTTGGTGTCGATGAGATCCGAGTTCCCAGGCCGATCCCGCTCCATATGGAACCACCAGTCGCGGCCCATCTTGTGATTCCAGGAACCCGTACAGGTATCCTTCTCCCAGGGCAGCGCAGCAACAGAGTTGAGGCTCAGGGACGTGGCTGGCGTCGAAGGCAAGGCCGGACTAGTGTTGGACCGGCTAATGGTGTTGGACCGGCCGCCGACGGTGTTGGATCGACCGATGCTCCCCCATCCAAACCGCGAGGGTGGGCTGGAAGCCGGCGACGGCGGGTCTTCGGCGGGCGGGTTGGTATTGCTGCGGTGGAGGCCGAAGCAATCGACGCCGACGCCCGCAGCATACGTGAGAGACTGGTTGGATGCAAGTAACTGCTTCCACCCGGTCAAGCCACCGTCTGATTCCTGACCCTGGATATCTGGGCGAAGGAGAAATTTGGGGATTGATGCCCCCGTCGCAGGGTCTACGACGCCCACGCGTCCCATAAATGCTGGCATGTGGAACGCATAGACTGTCGCAGGAGCGTCGGCATCTTTTTCGGGGCGTTGGTGTTTGTACCGCTCGTTGGCAGCCCAGATGCCATATTCATCCAGCTCTGGCTCTGGATCTTCATCAAATGAAGCCGGAACGGCGCTGTCGGGCACGTAGTCATCCGAGAAATCTTGAATGATGACCCGCATGCCGGACTCCGTGTCCTTGGTGGCCATGTCGATGAAGGTCTGGGCGCGGATCCGGGCAGAGGTCAAGTTGTTTCCAGCGGGCAGCGCAAGCGGCCGAGTACTGACAGAGCCGTGAGAGCTGCGGGGGAGACTATACCGATCTGGTCGAAGGAGCGCTTGCCCCTTTGTGATGGGCCGACAGACTGCTTGAAGCATGCCCGGAGGATCCACGTCAGAAGGGGCGCGAAGGGTTTCGAGTTGAGGGAATCCGCCCGACAGGATACTTTGGGCGAGGTGAGAGTTGGGGGTATCGGAATGTTTGGTAGGTTTTTGAAAAGGAAGGGTTTCGAGTTGGGTAAGTGCTGTGTGGGGGTCAGGGCACGCGACGTCCCAGTGAAGATATTTCAGACTCGAGGAGGCAAAGATGGGCTGGAAAATCATGCCTTCGCTGGGCATGATAGGGGAGTGTCCAGTTTGGACAATCTTGAGTCGTTCGAGTTGTCGGAGTGAAGACAGGATTTTTGAGACAACCAGCAGTGATTGAATGTCCTGCTCGACCAGAACGAAGGACTTGAGCGAGCGGGATTCCGGTCGTGATGTGTACTGCGAGAGACCGGCATCTGTAACCCCGGGCAGATTCTCCAACCGCAGCGACTCCAACGAGGGCAAACATAACAGTGTGCTATCATCGAAAGCCTCCTTGTCAAAAGAGGAGATGCACAGATTGCGGAGTGAGGGCAAGAGATCGAACATGCGCAGGAAAATGCTGGGCTCTAAAGCATTGCTTTCGTTCAGGCTGTAGAGAGCGAGAGTTTCCAAATTCGACCACGAGGCGTGATAGTCCAAGAATTCAAACATCTGCGATGGCCCCAAGCTTCCTGGGCAAGAGGTACTCCGGGGAGACACTTCAGAAACCTCCGCCGCCTCGCCCAGGATCCATGTGTGCTCTTTGAGCCTCTTGCGTGTTGACAAGGCATGGGTCAAGCGGTCGAATTCATGGTGGTACGGGATGGACAGGCCGAGTAACCGTTCGAGGTTCGGGCAGACCATGACCACCGATGCGACAATATCCCGATACTCTTGCCATTGGGCGCTGTGTTTGGTTGTAGTGAACAGCAGATCCATCTCAGGAACGCGAAGCTCTCGCACAAGGTTGGCCAGCAATTTGCGCTCGCGCAGAGTCCGTCTCAACAGCTTCAGTCGACTGCCCCGCTTGAGACGATACTTCTTCAACTGGGCGGGGGAATCATTTCCAACAATGTGAATGTTGTTATATCTACAATTTCATTAGTAGTGGCTTTACCATCTAGTCAAATAAGAGCACTCACAGCTTCCCTCTCACGCCTTTCTCCCACGACCGAGAGGTCAAGGACAAGGCATGCAAGTCGCGCTGGAAACATGTCGTGCAACCCGTCTGGTGCGGTCCCTTGTGCAAGTACTCGAGGTGACCCAGAATCACATCGTAGACATCTTGCGGGATGCGTCTCTGGATGGGCTCGGCAAATTTGGGCAAGGATCCCACGGAGTCGAACTGGCGGTATGAGGAAGTGGGTGAGGTGGGCGAGTAGACGGTTGGCGCAGTCGAGGTGGTGTAGTTGGTCCTGTAGGAGGATATGGAGGAAGTGCGCGTTTGAATAGGGTGGATGGTCACTGGGAATTCGTTGCAGTGCGACGGGGGAATGGTGGTGTAGGGTGCAGCAGCGCTCTCGGGTCTACTGGCGACAACACTCATCGTGGCTTGAGGTCGCCTAGCATGGGAGGCGAGGTGAGAAGCAAGCGGTGGGGGTTGGCACTGAAGAATGTACAAGAGGGAGAGAGAGAGAGTGTGTGTGTAAGTGACAGTCCTGAAGAAGTCACGAAGGATCGCAGATGGTCAAGATGGCTTGGCGGGCGTGCGCAGACACCATCGGAAGCAGTTAGGGCCAACCGCTTGTTTAGGGGGGAACAGTCGATCTCTCCACAAAAGGAATGAGTTGATGTTCTTCTGTCTCCGCTCCACTCGTGCTAGTCCTTAGTTCAGGGGCACTTTTTTTCGGCAATACACAGTCCAACACGATTCTGCCGAGCAACAGTCGATGAGATCGGATAGGATCGGGGACGAGGGAACTAGGAATTATTGGAATTGACCCAAGCTAGAACAATCATTGTTCACTAGTCACCAGCCATCACCAACTCGAGAGGATTGTTGTGGCAGCGCGGTTCGTGAGCGGAGAGCCCTAACCCCATTCGGGCCAAGTGTGGTGGATTGGGCGGGTCATGCCCCTTTTTGTGTTTTTCTCTTTTCTCTCACTGCAACACCTGAGGCATGCGTTTCAGACGATCAGTCTTCGCCCCATGGTATGTCCATCGTTACATATTCTTCAAGGGAGTATGTCCAAGGTTCATGCATAGAGCTCGACCGCAACCCTAGGTGCTATGTATAGAAAGTCCAAATAATAATACGAACCATACGAACTGGTCCAAGCCGTAAGACATGGGCGTGCGCCTCCAAAATAAAAAGAAAAAAGCAACTGCCGGCTCAAGGACCCTGCGCTGCCAAGCACGCTATCTGGGTCGCCGAGGGTTCCGTGCTCACGGCGCCGCATGCCATAACCTGGGACGGAGCGGCCGAGCTGTATGTATAATCTACGATGTAGACTGCCTGACGTTGCCATAGAACCACGCCCGATGTTCACGAATGTAATATGATTGGCCATACATAACATACCCCCAGTCAGGATCTCGGAGAAAAGGGCCAAAACGGGCCTAGGGCGCTAAAGTGCCCTAAACATAGGCCACATCCTCGATCCATATCCGATAAACAGTGCAAAGGGACAGCTGAAACACGATCGAGTGGGGACGAACGTGCCCCATCTTCGTGACAGGGGGGCCAATTGTGCCCTGAGATCTGGTCTGGGCGTGGAGAATGGCGCTGCGTTGGCTGTACATTTGGAATTCCAGCGGTCCACTGATGAGCATTGGACTGTACAATGTGCCGTCTGTCGAGTCAGGAGTTATACAGGTCCATGGATGAAGGCTGGGATATGCAGCGGCATTGCACACCTTCGAGAAGACGACATGGTGTTTCACAGGATGATATGATGCAATAAGGCGAGCTAGGCCTTAGCCTAACGTAGGTATGCGATTGCGCCCTATTCTTAGAATTCACAATTTGGCCCTCTTCTCAGAGAACCGATACACCACGTCCGCAAAATCATTCGTCGGAAACACATAGAACCACCTCAAATCCTCCGAACCCGTGTTCACAATGGCATGCTCTGCATCCGGAGGGATGTAGACGGTACTCCCAGCTGAGACCGGATACACCGTTCCGTCGATGGTAACTTGCCCGGCGCCGTGCAGGATATGGTAGAGCTCAGCCTGCACGTGGCGATGTGGGCAGAGCTGGCCGGTCTTCGGTGGGCAGACGGCTATCCCCGCGCTTAGGTCTTGGGTTGGTGTTTGGGTGGCGGAGATAAGTGTGTGCCAGGTGAGATTGTTGGTGGAGGGGTCTGGGAAGGATTCGTGGGGGGTGTGGGAGGTGTAGCTTGCGGGTAAGACCACTGGTTTTGTAGAAGATTTAGGGTGTGCCATTTTGGATCGCTGGGCGGATGGATCACAATCAGCGGGTGTTCATTGCTTTTTATAGGTGTATACTTTGGGGCAAGAATGGAACATGGAAACCGTTTCTCAAAACAGTAAGGGAGTCCCCATGCATGATGGTGGATCATATTAGATCAAACAAGGCATACACTCAAGTCCTGCCTTGCTAGACTGTTCTAGATCTTCATAACTGTTATGTTATTTAACGAATTCACAGCGTGGCGCTGTAGATTGGCCGTAGGTTGGCCGAAGATGGCATCATTATGAGGTTATACTTCGGGACAGTCCGATCGCCGATCCACATCATACTTGGAGCTTTGAAACCCATGGACGGCCTGAATGAAACAGCAATATATAACAAGTACTTCATTCTCAGATCAGACTACAAATCATACGTGTTTAAAACGACAAACAAACACCACAGCCCTACATCGACACCGCAGCCGTAAACCCAATAACAGCGCCAACCAACGGAAACACCGACCTCGCCAGATTCAACGCAGACCAGTACCTCAACAAGCCCGGCACCTCGGCATCATCTTTCGCGCGTCTCGCCGTCTCCTGCGTACTCAGCTCCTTCCCAGACCCCTTGTCATCGCGCGTCGCATGCGCCGTCAACTTCGCATTCGTCTTGTTGATCATAATTAGCGTCCAGGGGACGATGCTCATCGTCACCGTGATAGCTGCCACATAGCACGTCGTCCAGCTATACCCATAAATGGGCGACGCGCCCGCGTCGCGCAGGGTCCAGGCGAGGTAACCGTTGGCGAGGGAGGACGCGGCGGCGAGGGTGGGGAATGTGTCGTGGCCGCGCTTGAAGAGGAAGAGCCACTGGTGCGTGAGGTGGGAGACGGGTGTTCCGGGGGCGGAAGGGTCGGATGGGAACCGGGCTGGAAGGGCGAGTGTTGGGAGGCCTATCCAGGACAGCGTGGAGATGCCACCTGGGGGTGGGGTGTTAGTTAGCTCGTGGAAGATGTGTCGTTTGCTAGGAGGGGAATAATACCGGCTGCGAGGGCACACCCAACAGTACCGATGGCTTGCGCGATTCTAATGTCGGTCGACATGATGTTGGAGATGAGTGAGTTGGTGGTAATGTTCGGGTGAGACGGAGAAGTTGAGGTGAAGTCAAGCTTGGCCTTGGGGGGCGGGAGGTTGTTGCTGACATCACGACTACAGCACATAATTAGGAGCCAATACCTATACGGGACTCCTTGCAATCCGCAATCAATATCCTACACGCAGGTAATAGATATATACTTACTTGCTCTGCCCGTAACGATAGCTCCGATCTCTAATGCCGCGCCAGTGACTGGACCGACCCCATAGCGGGGCACACCTCGGACTTTGCTGCGAGTACAACCACCTACGAACTACCTACTCTCTCTCTCTCTCTCTCTCTCTCGCCCTCCCCTATACACCCCTAATGGACCCCTCCCAGCCAGTGCCCAAGCTCGGCGAGGCCGAGTATATCAATTTTTCCAGTTTGCCCGCCGACGCAAGACACCCCGATGGCTCGCTCGCACTAAACCGGTACTCGTCCATCATCACCCGAGGCCATGACTTCCCGGGCGCACGAGTAAGTATGAACGGCGAATCAATTGAGAAGGAGTCTAACGGTACAGGCAATGCTATTCGCAGCTGGAGTTCCAGACAAACATGCCATGGCTACCAGCCCTCACGTTGGAATCGCCTCAGTCTGGTGGGAAGGCAATCCGTGCAACATGCACTTGATGGATCTGGCGAAGACGGTGAAGAAGTCTGTCAGCGAACAGGGGATGATCGGCTGGCAATACAACACCATTGGCGTGTCCGACGCCATCACCATGGGCAGCGAAGGAATGCGCTTCTCGCTGCAGACCCGGGAGATCATTGCCGACAGCGTCGAGACGGTGACCTGCGCGCAGTACCATGATGCATGTATTGCCATCCCGGGATGCGACAAGAATATGCCCGGCGTCGTCATGGGCATGGCCCGCCACAACCGTCCCTCGATCATGATCTACGGCGGCACCATCCAGATCGGCTACTCGGAGCACCTGCGCAAGCCCATCAACATCTCCACCTGCTTTGAAGCTGCAGGTGCCTACGCGTACAACACCCTGCGCCAGCCGGATGATGGCGGCGATACTAGCAAGACCCAGGATGAGATCATGGATGACCTGGAGAAACACGCTTGCCCCGGCGCAGGTGCCTGCGGTGGTATGTTCACGGCAAACACAATGGCCACGGCCATTGAGTCGATGGGCCTGTCCCTGCCGGGCTCGTCATCAACACCTGCTGCCTCACCCTCGAAAATGCGCGAGTGCGTGCGGGTGGCCGACGCCATCAAGGTCTGCATGGAGAAAAACATCCGGCCGCGCGACCTGCTGACCAAGCGGTCGTTTGAGAACGCGCTGGTGATGACGATGGCGCTGGGTGGCAGCACGAATGGCGTTCTGCACTTCCTGGCCATGGCCCGCACGGCGGGCGTGGATCTGACGCTGGATGACTTCCAGCGAGTCAGCAATAAGATCCCGTTCATCGCCAACTTGGCTCCCAGCGGCAAGTACTACATGGCCGACCTGTACGAGGTCGGAGGCATTCCGTCCGTCCAGAAGCTGCTGATTGCGGCGGGCTTGCTAGACGGTGACATCCCCACCGTCACGGGCAAGACCCTGGCTGAGAACGTGGCGTCCTTCCCTTCGCTGCCGGAGGAGCAGTCTCTGATTCGTCCATTGGACAACCCTATCAAATCAACTGGCCACCTGCAAATCCTGCGTGGCAACCTCGCTCCCGGCGGAGCGGTCGCCAAAATCACAGGCAAGGAAGGCCTGCGCTTTACCGGCAAGGCCCGCGTCTTCGACAAGGAAGCTCGGCTCAACGAGGCCCTGAACGAGGGGCGCATCCCCCGCGGCGAAAATCTGGTTATTGTCGTGCGCTACGAGGGGCCCAAGGGTGGCCCGGGCATGCCAGAACAGCTCAAAGCCAGCGCCGCGCTCATGGGCGCCAAGCTGACCAACGTTGCCCTCATCACCGATGGCCGCTACTCCGGGGCCAGCCACGGGTTCATTGTTGGACATATTGTGCCCGAAGCTGCGACTGGAGGCCCTCTTGCTGTGGTGCAGGATGGAGACATGATTACGATCAACGCTGAGACGAACGAGATCTCGATGGATGTGCCCGAGGCGGAGCTCCAGGAGCGGCTGCGCCAGTGGAAGGCGCCGGCGCCGACTATCACCCGGGGTGTGTTGGCTAAATACGCACGATTGGTGGGCGATGCGTCGCATGGCGCAATGACGGATCTTTTCTAGTATTGGGAATCAATCAAGAATAAAACACTATCTCTGTCTCTCCCTGTCTCTTTTCTATAGTTCGAGCAACAGTGTAGAATGCTGACTCATCCCCGTCCTTCCACGCTTTACATTTCTTTCTTGTGATTCGCAGATCTTCACTTCTTCAACGTTTTTGATCACACAACTCTCATTGGCAACCCTGAACAAGACCAGGTGCGCCCGAGTGTGGAGAGTCTGTCTAGACCGCTTCCACCTTGGGGCCGCTACCTGCGTCCCTGTATTTCAACAACCATGAGTGCCTCCGCCGACTCCCTCTCGGTCCTCTACGATTCTCTAACCTCCCAGTCCTCAACTCGACCAGGCCCTGTTCTGCAGTTCTGGACTTCTCTTCGCGCATCAATCAGCCCCTCCGTCCTTTTCTCCTATCTCCGCAACCCCTACCGCAATGATAACTGGGGCCGGATAGTGTTCTTGACCACAGTCGCGGTCGCCATGGCTGGATGTGGCTTTTTGTCGGCCCTGCTGCGCCGTGCGCGGTCGTCGAAGAAGAAGGCAGAGCTCAAGCGGCCGACTGTGCGCAAGAGCTCGAGCAAGTCGTCGTCCTCTTCGGATGATGACTATGAAGATGAAGAGTACGATAGTAATGGATCCTTGCGCCTTAACAGCGAACTGTCTCACGACTGGCCGCCTGAGCCTCAGGAGCAAACCTCTGATGGTATGGAGATCTGCACTGTGTGACCAGAACACGGCTAATTTCATCACAGCTTTCAAGTGGGATCCTGGCCTTCTGAGAAAGTTCACCTCCTACGCCTCGTACACCACCTCCATTGCTACCTACCCGGCCATTCGCACTTTCTATTCTCCACACCCACACCTTGAACGGCTCCCGACCAACCCATCACCGGTCCCGTTGCTTGTCTTTGTACACGGCCTGGGCGGATCTCTAGCGCAGTTCCACCATCTTCTTACTAGTCTCTCCAATGTCGGGTCGTGCTTCGGGATTGATTTGCCGGGGTGCGGACTGTCGAAGTTTGCACCCACGGATTGGAACGCATACTCGGTTGAGGCATTGGCAGAGCTATTGGCTGAAGCTATTGAGCAGCACAGGGACCGAGCCGCCGGCCAGGGCGTTATTCTGATTGGGCACAGTTTGGGCTGCTCTTTGTCTGCTCTCTTAGCCTCATCGACCTCGTCGATTGGAGCACAACTGAAGGAACATATCCAGGGTCTCATTGCGGTCTGTCCCCGCGCAGCTCCCCCATCTGCTGAAGAAAGCGCTGTCTTTCGTAGACTGCTCTACGTTCCTGGCCCTATCTTTGACTTGTGGCGCTACTGGGACCGACGCGGTGGCATCAAGAGCACCAGCGTGATGAGAATGGTGGGCAGCGATGCCGACGCCGAGACCCGCGATCTTCAAGTTCGGTTCAACAAGCAAAGCCAGACGGCCGTTTGGCGCCGAATGGCATGGGGCACCCTTCCGACCTACGCAGATGAGAACAGCCCACCAACCGGGGGCATTCCTGGCGAGAGTGTGTGGGCGGGAATCCACATGCCGATTTTACTGGTCGCCGGTGAAGCAGATGCAGTCACCAAGCCCGCTGAAGTGCTGAAGCTGCTTCAGTTCTTTGGAGATAGTTCCAGTCATACCGCTATCGACACTACTGATAGCAGCGTTGTCCCCGATGCTTCACGCGTGCATGACCAGACACCCACTACTCCTTTCAACAGTCTTGCCAATGAAGAAGAGTTTGGCGTCGAGGTAGTTGATGGCGAGAAGCAACTTGACCAAAACAAGCGCAAACGCGTGGTCAAGTCGGCCATCCTGCCCGCCCCTGCATCCCATGCTCTTCTCTATGATCGGGCGACGTACCGCACCTTGGCCGGCATCATCCAGGACTTTCTCTCTCACCGCATCGACAAGCGCTTGGGATTAGGGTGGCAGCTGCAGTACATGAACACCTCCGGAAAATGGGACGTCAAGAACCTGGCCAAGTGGCAGAAAGTCGCACCCGTCTCGGAACCCATTGCCAACACGTTCGCCGCAATGAAAATGCTGCGCGAGGTGGATGAAACGCACAATCCCGTGGACTTTTCGCAGAAGTACCACGGCCGCATCTACGCCGTCATTGACATCAGCCACGAAAGCCCCGTTTACAGCCCGGCGCAGATGGAGAAAGGTGGAATCCTGTACTTCAAGCATCCGACCGTATCAAAGATCCCTCCCACACCGGATGAGACGCGCGATTTTATTGCATTGGTCGATCGTCTCCGAAAGGAAATTGACGAGAAAGCCGGGCACGGCGGTCCTCGTCCCCTGATCGGCGTCCACTGTCACTACGGCTACAATCGCACCGGCTTCCTGATCGTGTGCTATCTGATTGAGCGGCTTGGGTATGGAGTGCAGGATGCGATTGACGAATTCAATGCGCGCCGGCCGCCGGGGATCCGACATGGACATTTCATAGACACGCTGTTCGTGCGGTATTGCGTTGGGCTGAAGCGGGCGCCGACTCTTTAAATTTTCTTTTGGGAAGGGATTGGTGGCGTTTCACAGATAATGAAGAATGGATAGACAAGAGGTGCATTTCCGGGAACAGGACGGTTATTATTCTTACTACGACCCTAATTCATGAATTGATGATTTTCTTCCTATACTTCCATCCCATGGATCCACTCTGTAGAAGTGATGCCTTGGTGCCTGATTAGGGTATGACTAACCCAAACAGGCTAAGCGACACACACATCTTTACCGTCCCGAATTTTCGGCCTCTTTCGACCCCTTCGACCCTGCCACGCCCACCGACAACTCACCCTATCCTTCATCTCATTCCCTCGATAAGTCGCCAAAATGGGTGGTGTCACCGTTCGCGATGTGGACGTAGGTGTCCCCTGCTTTGATTTTGATTGCATTCGCTGCGTGGGAGATGTAGTCGGTGTTCGTTTCTGGGAGCATCATTCATTTTCGAGACGACGCACTCGGTTCTGGTTCGACTGGTTACGACACAGCATGGATTGAGGGAACAGAAAAAATCGAGAGATAGGGCGTCGCTTGTTGGAAAAGAGTCGCGGTCGTCGTGGTTTTGATTGGGAGTGGTGGTGCACACATTCAATTTGTGTGTGTGGAAACCCAGCTGGAAAATTCGATGCCCGCAACTCGACATGGACGATGCTCTCAGACACGAACTCGACACATTTCTATCCGGCGAATGTACATTTGCTCTTCGATCAGTGGGCTGACATTTTCATTTCTCAATATAGGCGCAGAAGTTCATTGCTGCTTACTCTGCTTTCCTGAAGCGTCAGGGCAAGCTCCCCATTCCCGGTACGTTCTACTCCTTCTACCTGCTCAATTATACAAAAACTAACAGAACCACAGGCTGGGTTGACACCGTCAAGACCTCTGCCTCGAACGAGCTTCCTCCCCAGGACGCTGACTGGTACGCCCGCCCACACCCATCTCGTTTTCCTCATCACATTATATCCTAATGCTGTTCCAGGTTCTACGTTCGTGCCGCCGCCGTCGCCCGCCACGTCTACATGCGCAAGACCGTCGGTGTTGGCCGCCTCCGCAAGGTTCACGGCTCGACCAAGAACCGCGGCTCCCGCCCCTCCCACCACGTCGACGCCTCCGGCTCGGTCGACCGCAAGGCCCTCCAGGCCCTCGAGAAGATTGGTGTCCTTGAGACCGATGAGGACAAGGGTGGCCGCCGCATCACCCAGAGTGGCCAGCGGGATCTGGACCGGATCGCCAAGACCACCGTGGACGAGGAGGAGTCGGACTCCGAGTAAACTTTTTTCTCAGTCGGACAATAAAAAAATTTCCAAAATTTTTATGAAATGATGGGAGGCGAGCCACGAGAGGAAGATGGAGTTCTTTTGTTGCATGAGGACGCGAACTTGGAGAGAAGCATGAGCGAACGAAGAGGCCGAGACTGATATCCAACAACACTTTCTCCCAACCCGGGGGGAATTTTTTCCCTGCATACACAACTTCTTTTTTCTCTCCCTCACCTCTTCTGGACTGACCCGACCTAAACCCTACGGCGTCTCGTTCCTGTTTTCTCTCGCGGTCTCCTGGAAATAAAGAGCCATGTCTCAACACGTTTTAAAAGTTCTTCTTTTGCGTAGATGTAGATTCTCCAAGCCTGCTATCTTAACTTCTACCCGGCTCTGTTGCATATATACAGTTGCTACCGAATCTCTTAACTATTTCTTCCCCGATTGCGCCGACGGATCCTACATCAGTTAGCCATCACTAATACCAATATCCCAGAATCCGGAGTGAATACGAACCAAGTAAACCTGGTAAAACTGCATCTTCACACCCTCCCCTTCCTTCTCGGGTGCAAACACCACCCTCCCGGCCCAGGGGACATGTACCTCCTTCGACGCATCCGCCTTGAGCGTATACTTCACCCCGCCATAGAGCATGATCTCATTCGGCCCGCCGAAAAAGATGCGCGAGGCCGTGTGGTGGCGCGAGGCGACGTGTGTCCAGAGGCCATGGCGGAGAGGAAGGATTTCTATTTAGTTCGATGTTGCCTCATCAGCATTGCGTATCCTTGAATTGATTGGCGGAATTGCATATGCATGTATGCGGTTGTGGGTGCTAAAATTGAGTAACTAGCACAACACTCACCATCCTTTCCCTTGGCCTCCTTCGGCCCCATAATCAGCGTCGCATCTTCTGTAAAGCTAGCTACGTATTTCTCGTGAAGGGACTCCGTGTCGCTTGTGCGGTAGAAGTCCTCCATGAAGGAGACGATGGCCGCCGCGCGGGGCGGCGCTAGGGTTGTGTCGTAGGCGATTTGGTATGACATTCTCACAGAGGTAGAATTTGTTTCCAATTTGAGGTGTCCTATGCGAGAAGAACAGGTGTAGATGTACAGTTAGGAGAGATCGTTGGAGCATTCGTCATGAGGGGGATGTTCGGGGTTCGGCCCGACGGGGAGGGGGACGCTTCCGATCTTATCGGTGGTACTACAGCGTACTGGTTAGTTAGTACATGCCGTCTACTATAACATGTGTCTGGGCTATTAGTCAACTAGGAGACAGATTTAGTGCCTAGCGAGTTCGCATCCGATAGCTGTTTAATATGGATTGAAATTGATCTACTGCTTTCCGACGGTTGCAGATACTAAAAGATCGTCATCATCCTCGGTCTGTCGGATGTAAAAAAACGATTCACAACCAAAGATGCAATCCATTTACAATGCTAAAAGAAAAAGAACCTAGTCTAGCACTTCCTCACATCCTCTTCATCCTTCTGAAAGTCCTCCCACACCGGTTGATCTGTGCCATTCGGGCGGCTCGCACGCACGAACCGATTCTCCACACCCTCCACAACAGCAACCGGCCGCACAACTTCCACATCTGCATTATACGCACGGGAGAACCACCGCTCAGTCAGCGGCTGGCGCCCTTCCCCACCCTCGCCGGCAGGTGTGTACAGATGCGGGAAACGGGTCTGCATGGCCTTCAGGACAGTCGACGAGATGCGGTCGACGCTATCACAGTGGCGGAGCTTGAAGAACTCAGGCGGCTGTGCGGCAAGGAGTTCCTTCTGCACTTCAGCGGGGTACTGACCAACTGCAAACAGCAGCAAATCGTAGTGCATCAGTGATGCCTTGCCGTGGTAAGAACCGCCAGTCTTAGCGCGGTGGTATAGACCCGAGAGCGCGGCGATAGCGCCCATGCAGCCTGTTCCGTAGTCGGAGATGGGAAATGGAGGCACAATGGGCGTGGAAAGACCCATGAACTGGCCCTGTGCCCAGGCAATTCCAGTGACGCAGTCGGCAATCTGCTGCCATCCAGCCCGTCCGGCCCACTCGCCTTCATATCCGAAACAATTCTCGTTGACGTACACAATGCCCTTTCCGCGCTTCTCGGCCAGTGCCGCCATCGCCTGCGGGCCATAGCCCAACTTCTCCAGCGCGCCGGGACGATAGCCGTCCACAATGACATCGACGTCTGCCAGCAGCTTCTCGAATCCCTCTCGTCCCGCCTCGGTCTTCAGGTCAAGGTCTGCTGCATGCTTGCCCATATTCCCGTCAACCTGGAAGAAAGGCACGTCGGATAAGTTCGGGCTGGTGATCTTCAATACATCGGCGCCGTATTCGCCAAGAATGCGGGTAACGGTTGGGCCGGCGATGATTCGGCACATTTCCAAGACTTTGACGCCCTCTAGGATCTTCTTGCTCCCATTGCGCCTGGCCGGGAAGGGAGTCGGGGGCAGATTACTCTGCAGCTGAGTGACTTTCCATGGAGGTTCTTGCACATTGAGTTTTCCCTGGGAGGGTTAGGAGTCGGAGCATGGAAAACAGAGAGGACATCTTACATGAGGGGTCTTGATAAAGTCTTCGTACTTGTACGCCGTCACGCCAGCCTGCCGCCGTTCCTTGTTCATCTGCTCGAGCTCGGCAGCGGAATACTTCTGCACTTGGCTCTCGATTACCTTAATGATCTCTTCATAGTCAGTCAGATCTGGCCGGTGGCCCTCCAGGCCGATCATATTAAGCGTTGCCGATGCCTCGAGTGACCCATGAATATGGAAAAATTCGCCCGGGTTCTTGGTCTTGTAGAGATTCGCCGACATGCGACGATAGCCGTTGGACTGCGCCGCCAACAGATCCGTATCTGAGAGATACAATTAGAAACTACATCAACCGATAATGAAAAGGAGCGTACCCTTCAACTTGGACTTCACGTTTGGGTCCAATTTGGACAATCCATCCACCTTGGCCATGTACGCCTGGCATCCGAACGCGGTGGCGCCCTCCAGACTAACCTGGACGCCGCGGGGTTTCGCATTGCGCCCGAAGCGCAGATCCGCGATCGCAGCAGCTACAGAGCCCTCGACTCCCTTCAGCGCAGCGAGTGTCTCGGTCTCTTTGAAAGGGATCGGGTAGTAGATCTCGTTATGGCTGGTGGAAAACGAGACCCGATCTTTGTTCGCCACCACTTCGGTGGGCAGATTCAGACGCTCCCACTGCTCGCAGAGATCGGAGAAGATCCTACTCGTCTCGAGGACGGGTGAATATATAGTGCCGTTACTGGCCATGTTGGTTGCTCTTTCTGGGGCTGATCAATGGATGAATTTGTCTCCTTGTATTTAGTGTGATGTGGAACGGATAGGTGATGCTCCGCAATATCTGCCAAGGATTTGGATCTTGGGCTGCAGAGTAGGTAGTATTGACAGGTGGAGATTATAGAAAGTGAAGAAATGGGAGTTGTGGGTGATAATAAATATGAACTATCATCTCAGAGTCGGCTGGACTCCGGGTTGACCGTCGGGTGCGCGTCGGTTGGACGCTATTAGCCACGGCGGATGTGGGCGCTTGCACCCATGTCAAAGAGCCCCAGAACTGTGACTCCCGCGACGTTCCGTTCAGACTGTCGGAAGCCAATGATTCGGATCGGAAGCGGAGATCACGTGGTCACCAACGCTCTACACTGAGGGATTGTATAAATCTAGTCTAGAATAATTGTACTTGAGAGCTTTTGGTTTTGTGATAAATAAAGATCTTGAAAACTAAGGCGGGTCTTCTCTCATGAGGACTCTCTGGACACGGGTGTCAAATGGACTTTCAATGGACCTTTCTGCCACATAAGGAAATTCCTTTGCTTAATCCAATCATGACAGTCGTCCGAAATCTTCATGTCGAAATTAAAGACTATCTGGGCAAGAATAAGACGCATCTCACTATATGCGAGACTAACGGCAAGTCAGCAATTAACTCGACCCAACAAAATCTTATACTTACTTCCTTCCGAGACAATTTCTCGGGCCAACATGGAATGGCTGCAAGACTTCTCGACGGTCATTTTCGAACTTAGAATCTCCCAAAAAACGCTCCGGATGATAGGTGTTGGGCTCGGCAAAGTACTGCTGCCGGCGATAGAGCGCCCAGTGATGAATCGAGACATAGGTCTATATTGTGGTGGTCAGCACAGGTGCAGAAGATACTCTCAGGTAAACTGACATTCTCTGGGATGTATTGCCCTGAGATTACCGCTCCCTGGCAGACACGAGGAAGACCATTCGCAACGGGCGGGAACATGCGAAGTGCCTCGTCAAGACAAGCCAACATGTAAGGCAATTTAGCCACAGAAATCAAATTGATATCGTCTTGACTTTGGAATGTTGAGCGAACTTCCTCAGTCAATCTTCTGTAGACATCAGGATTTTCAAGCAAAAAATATGTCACTCCACTCAATAATGACGCAGTAGTCTCAGAGCCTCCGATGATGAGAATTTCCGCATTTGCAACTAGGTTTTCGACGCCCAGGTTCTGGACCTGTTAGATACAGACCAAGTCAAGAATTTTCTTACTTACCAGTTCATATTTCTTCCTTAACAGCCCCTCAATCAGATCAGGCCGTCCTTCGCTATTTTGCATTCGACGAGCCATTTTTGCCGAGGTCCGTTTCTTGTGTCGCTTGCGACCCTCTTGAATTGATTGGGGAACCAGTGACAACAAGGCGTGTTTGACCCATGGATAAAACGATAGACTCTGTAATATGGTGCCCACTCGTCCAGCTTGGAAGATCCCTGCGATCCATTCATCATAATTGGATCCTGCCAAACAGCCGAAGGGTTCTCCAAAAGCCAAATCTCCAATAATGTCGAACGTGGTGTAGTTGTACCAATCTGAGAGAACAACTGGTTTCCCTTCTCTGCAAAATCCGCGCAATTTTTCTAAGAGGAGATCAACATATTTCCGGATCAGAGGCTCCTGGTCCCTCATCGCCTTCTCCGAAAACCCATGGGCCATTTGCCGCCGCAGCTGCCCATGTTGCTCTCTCGCTTCATTGACAATATGAAGTGGCTCGTCTTCAAGTGGCTGATAGAACCATCGAGCTTTTTCCATTTCTGGCTCGCCTTTTTTGTGTCCCATGATATCTTTCCATGCATCAGGGTGGGAGAAAGCAAGTTCATCTGGCGCAATCCGGACAATATCACCATAGCGATTGTGGAGCTCCAGCATATCAAATGGGAGCGTTCCTCTGGCCGCCCGCACGCAATAGGGCAGACGACTCAGTGCGTGGGATATCGGACCAGGAAAGCGGCTGAGCGGATGGAAGAAGATATTATAGATGGCTTTAGTGATGAGGTACGAAACGGCCTGTTTTCGTTAGCGAAGATATCATCCGGAAGTACTTCAACTTACAGTGAAACTGCAAATGGCCACCCCGGATTTCACATCCAGAGCAGTCTTTTCGAAAAGCATCTTTTCAATTGCTGTGAAAGCGGGGTTTTCTGAAGAGAATAGGCCTGCTCTATATGAGGGCAGCGCTGGTGTAATTTGCAGAATCTATATGCCCAGTGTGTCAATGGCACCATATCCTGGAGTTGGTTAGAAGCCACCTAAAAATCAATATAGGATCTTAAATAAACAAGTTACTGATATTGGGACTGGGCTTGCACAGATAGAATCTCTGCCATTATGTCGGGGGGAATGATCTCCGTCCGTTTTGTTCAATGCCGAGCCCGAACCCGAACACGAAGTAGATCATTTCCATTTTACGTTATTGAACATTGGGTAGCTCAATTGAACAGCCAGATGAAAGAAAGTGTACATGGAGCAGTATTTTACAATTTCAAACTACCAACTCTTTTTTGGAAGCGCGAAATTGCAGATTTTGGCCCTCTGGCTCTTGATCTTTGTGCTGCACAAGTGCTCTACAGACCCACATTGATGTGGCCAAACTAAAATAAACAACCAATGAGAATTCCTGAATTCCGAATACGAGCCTACTAAATGATCAAATGCCGAGCCTTCTCCTATGCATGCCACCTTCATAAAATGAATCGGAAACATTCATTCCCGTGAACAAGCGACTATAATTGATTTGCCATGTTTTCCGTGCGCAACAAAACACAACCACCCTCGTCCATCGTTATAACGCTGCGAAGCAATGTCGCCCAGAGCCTCTGCAGACACGACTTCCCCTGAAAGTAGTGGTCAAGGAACCACAGGAGTGAAGGAAATCAAGGAAGAAGACATAGGGAGCAAGAATGAAGGGAATGCATTCGAGGTATTCTGGGATGATCCTCCTGATCAAGACCCTGCCAACCCGATGAATTGGAGCAACGCGCGCAAATGGACCATTGTTGCGATCGTCTCCTTCATTACCTTTCTGACGTACGTACCACCGAAACCTTAATTCGATCCATACTTACTAGGATAGTCCTCTTGCATCTTCAATGTTCGCTCCTGGTGTCCCGCAGGTCATGGCTGATTTCGGTGTCAACTCTGTTCTCATTGCGACTTTTATAGTCTCGATCTATATCCTGGGATTTGCATTTGGGCCTCTAGTTGTTGCACCACTAAGCGAACATTATGGTCGAGCGATCGTCTACAATACCTGCAACGTCCTGTTCCTGATTTTCAACATCGCTAGCGCCGTTGCTCCAAATCTGGCGTCACTGATTGTTTTCCGATTTCTTTGTGGATTCGCTGGCGTGACACCCACAACCTTGGGCAGTGGCACGATTGCAGATCTTATACCGCCGCAGAGCCGAGGCAAAGCAATGGCTTTGTGGTCTCTAGGGCCGCTTTTTGGTCCCATCATTGGCCCCGTTGCTGGTGGGTTCCTAGTCGAGGCAACGAGTTGGAGATGGGTGTTCTGGGTGCTTTCAATAGCGGTATAAAAGCCCCTTCATGAATTATGAAAACGATTCTGACTTTCTTCCCCACAGGGTGGTGCTTCATCCATTGTTTTCTTCTTTGCAGTTCCCGAAACGTATGTCCCCATCCTCCTGGAACGAAAGGCGGCTCGACTGCGAAAAACAACGGGGAACGAGTCCTACACATCTCGCTTGAGCTCTGGCGCTTCTCCCAAAGAACTCTTCTTGAGAAGCTTGGTACGGCCAACCAAGATGCTGTTGTTCTCACCCATCGTGGCGTCGTTGTCCATCTATATCGCAGTTCTTTACGGCCTTCTTTATATCCTTTTCACAACCTTCACCGAAGTTTTCGAGGGTCAATATGGGTTTACCGCTGGAACAAGTGGCCTTTCATTTTTGGGCAGCGGCGTTGGTATGCTCGCGGGCCTCGCATATAGTGCATACTTTAGCGATCGTGGGATCAGATTAAAGATCCAGCGACAGGAAACCCTCCAACCAGAGGACCGACTCCCGTCTTACATGACAATTCCTGGTGCTCTGTCCGTCCCCATTGGACTTTTTATCTATGGTTGGTCAACAGATAAACACGTCCACTGGATTGTCCCTGAGATTGGAAATGCCGTCACTGGATACGGAATGATTATCATACTTATGTGTGTCCAGACCTATTTGGTCGACGCATTTACTGCTCACGCTGCCAGCGCAATTGCAGCGTGTACCGTTCTACGCAGTCTCATGGGAGGTCTCCTGCCTCTGTGTGGGTTGAAACTATACGACGCAATTGGCTTGGGATGGGGTAACAGTTTATTGGCATTCATCGCTCTTGGAATTGCGCCAATTCCGATTATGTTCCAGCTTTTTGGAGAGAAGCTTCGGAATTATAGTAAAATTTCTATTTAGCGACTGTTTAGAATTAGATCATTATCCAGAAGATCCAAGAGTACCCCCGCCAATCTGCTCTTGCGGCCACCGCAGCCAGCTGCAGTATTTCTCATCAAGAACAGAAGTTATCTGCTTCATAAGTCGCCCACTGAGTCCTTCCATCCACCACATCCATTCAATCTGGCGGAGAGCCACGCAGAAATATGAAAATATGATAAGGGCGACCGGATCCCATGTTCGCAACAGGTCCAAGTAATCATCCGATACTTCAAGCAGCCATGCAAAAACGTCTGCTGTTTCAAGGCCCCGTCCCTCGCCCAATCTCAGGACCACTCCCAGCGTCCGGCCAACGTTGTCTAGGGTCTCTTGATAAGTCCGCAGTATTTGCTCGTTGTGAGAGCATTCCTTGTCAATCATTCTCTTCAATTCCCAAACATACATCTGGCCCAGGTCCAAGGCCTGTGGCCCACGGCGCACAGCTGACGAATATGAGCCATTTAGAAAAATAGGGGCGAGCTTTCCTTTGCGGAAGTCCTCGCTGCTAGAATCAATAATGGTTTTCGTTCCGCGAAATAGGCGAACCCAATCGCACAGGCGACCTCCTTCAAACAAGGTCAAGAAACTTTCCTCGTCGCGGTTACACGCACATGAGAAGATACATGTAAGGGACGAAAATAGGAAAAGTGCGACACTGTTCTCGGATGCAAGAGAGGGAACGGCCGGCACCACACTGCGAATAGCGATATCATGGTGCCATTGTGCTCGAGTGAAACAGCTAGCACGGCGATGGGGCTCGCAGCGCCCAAGATGGAGCGCGGAAATGGCAAGTAGCGCATGTAACACAAAGGGCGTGGAGAATCCAATTCGAGGGGCGTGTTCGCGCCAAACAGACTGTATGGCGGGGACTCGTGATAGTGTGTAGCAGGTTGAGGACATATAATGGTGCAATAGTTCAAGATCAAAGACCGCAAATTCTGCTGGAAATGGCCCTAGTTGAGCTAAATTGGGACTTGCGATGTATCCTCGAGGGCTGGTCGTCTCTGGTCTTTGCTCTGATCCAGCAGGTTGATGGCCTTGGCTGTGATTCGATAATCCCTCGAAAGAGCAGTCAACGCCGTGTACTGTACAATTGCGACAGACAGGTTTGCGTTCATCACACTGCGAATGGAACAGGGTGAATAATTTAGGCAGGAGGCAGAGATATGGGCCGGCCTACCTTCACCTTCCTCCTTTTACACTGCAAGCATCCTGCCCTTGACTTTCTATGCGATCGACGACCCGCGGCAGCTGAATCCATATTTGTCTCCGATATTCAAGCATGGGCTGATGAATTAAGGTATCCAACTGGCTCAGGAGAATGCCTGTCCCGCATTGCGCTAATCGCTTTAGGTTAGACTATTATATCTATGCGCTCGCCCCAATGGTATCGTCTCTATACACAATAATTATTGCTCCAAAAGAACCGCTAGCACGGCTCTTTTTTGGTTGGAATTAGTTATCTTATTCTATGGCTTCAATCCCACTAACACGATCAGCGCAAAAACCCCAATATTCGGGAGTCGGTCTCCGATACCCGCGATTGGGCCGATGAACTAACTGGGCGACAACTCCTTTCCCCCAGATTTGACAATGCGGGGAAATCGAGATTCTCAATACCCGATAGCCGGAATTATGTGTTTTGTTTTAGTTCCAGATAATTTTACTTTTGTTGCTCTCTGAGGCATAGTTTGTTCAACTAAATGACTCGTTTTGCTCACGAAACTGCCGCTCGGGCACGGCTATCGGGACACATGGCACAATGTACAGAGCTGATGATGGGATACTATTTGGATTTATTAAATCAAGTTTGATTAATAGAGGTATATAAAGGGACAGAAGATTTTTCATCTCAGTAAGAAGCCAGTCAAGTCTCAAAACCTCTGCCATGGTTCGTCTCTTCAGTATTGCTGCATCTGCAGTGCTTGCCACTACTCTTGTTTCCTCCTCTCCAACCAGGGGTCAAAATTATGCCACCTACATCAATTTTGCGACGGACGATATCCTTGATAATGACGATGGCCTGCCTCCTCATCCACTCCAGGGCCTTCCTTACGGTAAGCCCACTTATCCACTCACGGTGGATGGCAACGGCCGGGAGCAAGTCGAAGCCCACTTGAACTATTTTGAGGGCAAATACTGGATGTATTCAGCAACATGGGGCTGTGGTGGTAACATATTTGTCTACGGCATTATTGAAGGCATCAACTTCCCTGTGTCACCCGTATATCCACCAGGCCGGTACGGCGAGAAAGCAAACTGTGGAATCAAGTCATACTCCTCCCCAGATCTCACCAAATGGACTCTGGAGACCTTCTACCAGCCCGATATCACGGTTGCCAATGTGACAAAGCCGGTGGTCCGTTACAGTAACGCCACCGGGAACTACGTGATGTATATGGGCTCTCCCAGTGAAGGTAATTTCTATTACACAACTTCAAAGAGCCCTGGAGGTCCGTGGAGTGATCCTCCACGGCGGATGGTAGGGACGTATATCAACCACGATTTTGACGTCGCCGTTGGACCTGATGGGAGCCATTACATTGTCTCGGATCCTTTTACCGAGATGCTCTCGTTCAATGGCTATTATACACTACCTATTTGGGATATCTGGGTCCAAAAGCTGGCCCCTAATCTTACTGCAACTGTGGGCACCAACAAGACATCCGCGAGAATCCGCACTGCTCGCTCTCTCTACGCACAGGGACTCCATCTCGAGGCCGCCAGTTTCTTCTACCACGACGGATACTGGTACATGATGTTTGGAAGAACATGCCAAAATTGTGCTGGCCCAATTTATTACCTCTACGCCACGAACCCATTGGGACCTTACATTGATGGCGGTTTTGTCAGTCTCGACGGTTGTGGTGGCCAAAATAAGGGCGCCAATGTGCTTCCCTCGGCGAAAGGACCTATTGTCGTCGCCGGGAACCTAGGATATCGCACCTCGCCTACAGACATCGTCGTGAACGGCTCAATATGGCACGGAGACAACCATCAAGCGGCCTCCAGCACATATTTCTTCCCTCTCGAGTTCAACGAGGACCACACTATCAAGAACTACACATGCCCGCCCACAGTTCACATTCCTCTGGCAAGTAATATCAGTACTCAACCAGAGACTCCTGTTTCGTACCAATTGGACGGTCGGATTCGCAACTGGCAAACAATAGAAGCAACTTATGATCCTCCAAAATTAGGATCCAGCCTCGAATTTCCAGTTTGGCAACGCACAGACAACCTGGGACAAACCACCAATGCTGGACCAATGCTCGATGGCCTGCTTCAAGTGACTGTTGGGTTTTCTGACGGCAACACCGCGGACTTCTCATGGTCTCCAAGAGATATCTCCTGGGCACCGGCCAAAATCGCGATGGATGTGTCCGGCAAACAGATCTCAAAGATAACCCTGAGCACCAATGCCACAAATGGCTGCTTTGGAACGTTGGTAGAGCCAAAGAAGTCCAACTCAAATTATGGTTTGCGGGTTCGTGGGACTTTCAAGGATTCACCCAAAGCTGAGCTATATGTGTACCAGTTTTAGATTTCTCTGCATTTAGTGTATGAAGGCCTCTAAAAGAATATACACACAGCATTGGCAATTCTACCGGGGCCACCCTACTGGTGCACGACTCTTATTAGAGATAGATATCCAGGCTCACTCCGCAAGTGATACCGGTTCAAACGAAGTGACTCTGCGCTAGCATTCTCCTAGTCTAAACTGTTTCACCGTTTCAAAATGGCTCAATTGATATTTTCTGTTTATGCACGGCTAGAACATGATAGATGCGTCTTCTATTCTGGAATGCATTTCACGTTTAATATATCAACTCTATTCTTCGAATACAATAAGACCGCTGGTCAGGCTCTACAGCTGACTAGGTATCTTCCATGATTTTTTGGGACCCGACGTCCGCCCTGTACCCTCATGACTCCGTCTTGATTGAAGATACTGCAGATTCATCTGCCTCTGAAATTTCCGGTTGGCGTGACCGACAATCATTTCTAACAACGAAGTACCAGCAGGTACCAATTGCCATACAGGCGAAGCACAGCAAGCCAATAGAGCAGGCGTAGCTGACGTGATAGTAAGGCCCGAACTTAGATTGGTAGATTTGAGGTCCCTAACATTGGCAATAGTCTCAGCAAGAGAAACAAAATTAAGACACCTTCAAAACGTTGATACTTACCACAATGCCCATGAGTTGAGCCGCGCCATTGGTCATTCCAATGGCTACACCCGCTGCCGTTGTACCATGGGCAGCTCGAATACGTTCTGTCACAAAGTAGCTATATTAGCCACTAGTTTTTGAAGGATTAGAGGAGGGGGCCGTCTCACCTGGCCAGACAATTGGAAACAAACTCTGAGATGCGGCGGTGGCAATCATAACGAAGATATACCTTGCCACAGAATCGTTCACCGTAATCAGTAGGATATAGCATAATATTTGCAACGCCTCAATGCCAAGAGCAGCAACCCAGGAACTGAGACGACCTTTGTGGACAAAGTATGCAATCGTGACGAGGAAGATGAAATTAAACGTATAGGGTGGCTTTGGGGTGTCATTAGTCTTGTCGGGATAAGCATACTACAGTTGCAGTTACTCACCATTGTCATAATCTGGGAGATGGCCGTGTCGGTCATACCCAGCTGGTAGATCACAGTTGGCAACACAAAAGTTATACCAAAGCCGCCGATACCGTGACCGATCCAGATAAGAGTAAATGGAATAAACGTGGGGTCCTTGAAGGCTGTTTTGAGCTGGTCGAAATTCCATGTTTTAGCCTTCATGTCCGGCGCAGTCTCAGCCAAGTCTGCACGGAGGGCCTCCTTTTCCTCGGGCTTGAGAAACCTGGCCGTATCAATGTCTGGGAAGTATTAGCCGGGATTTTCTCACAGTGTTAGGTATAACTTACAATTCGGGAGAAAGAAGTACGTATAGATGCCGCACAGAATGGCTGGCATGCCTTCGAGGATAAATAGCTAGTTTCTTAAGTCAGTATATAACTACCTTGACATGCATCTCTGAGAGCTTACCCATCGCCAGCCGGCAAGACCACGGATTCCATTCATGAAGGAAATAGCGTATGCTTGAAGAGAGATTTCGTCAGTTCGCTACTCGCTCTGTCTTGTGGCTGCTAGACATACCCAATAGTCCACTGATAGTTCCAGAGAACATTCCGCTTGCGTAGAAGATGCCCTTTGTTATCACATAAGTCAGAATGCTGCTTTGCACAGTCTGGCTCGATAGCCATCGTAAAGACAGAGCAACTCACAATCCTTAGAGGAAGCCTGTCTGTTGGGTACCAAAAGCTGAGGTGGTAGAGGACACCAGGGTAAAACCCAGCTTCACATAGCCCTAGGAAGAAGCGAGTTGTGAGGATACCGGCATAGTTCTGGGTGGCGGCTTGGCACATTGAAACAATGCCCTGTATTCCATTGCTCATCAGTCCATGGTTTGCTACCACTTCCACCGAGTGGGACACTCACCCAAGAGACCATGATGCGGCTCATCCACACATTCGGACCGAAACGCTTGAGGGCCAGCGTTGCCAGTGGTTCGGCGAACATGTACGGGTAGTAGAATATACTGAGCACCCAGGCCCACTGCTGGCTGTTCAGATTGCCCAGCTGTTTCTCAATGCCTGTGCCCTGCTCCAGGTTCATGATGGCTGAGTTGCTGATATTGCTGACATGAACTCTCATGACGAGATAGACAAAAGAATACCAGATCAGGATATTCCTGTCTGCCTTTTTGCGCCCAGCACTGGCGGCATCTACTGCTTCCTCCATACTGCGACCGTCGCTTGGGGACACCGATATATCCTTGATCGGAGGAGAAGGCACCTTGTCGGCAATATCTATTGAGTCCATGCTGAATGGTTATGGGGACCAATTGATGCCGCCGATAGATAGTAGGTGTCAGAATTGGGCTTGGGAGTCGAACAGAATCGAACTATTCTAGCTTTACGAAGAAAAACAGGCATTGTCGCTATAAAGAAAAAGTTACAAGCATTTAGGAGTGAGCACGCCTTCAAAATGGCATATTGACAATGATGGCATCATATCTAGAGCTAGTGTCGAATAAGCGTAGGACCATTGAAAAGCCTTACGCGCAGACAAGAGAACCAGAGAACGGGATATGGAATTCGGGATTTGGTCAAGGAATTTAAGGTAAATGCTCTTATGTTCGGGATTTTGGCCGAGAGTCAACAATATTTGCGATTGGGGGCGTGGATGGTGTGATGGGAGGAGCCATTCGACCAATGAGCCCAACCAAAAATCGGAGGAGACGGAGGTACAAATGCGCTTCTGCGTCCTGGTGCGGGGATATCTTGACAACCCCTCAGAAGCAGACACGGTAAATAGAAGCCATGAATTCACTTCAGAGAAGCATCGCAATGTCGCCAGCACTCACTATCCAGGGCCCCGACCTGCCCCATTGGGAGCAGCCGGCTAAGACTTCAGAGAAGTTACCATGGGCAAACATCAAAACCATCGATTTGAGCACCTTTGATCAGCCAGGCGGCAAGCAAAATCTAGCAGCAGATCTCCGTGACGCAGTAAATCAACTAGATCTGTTGCATGATAGAACAGGATAGCTAACAAGATATAGATCCACGAGACCGGCTTCTTTAGTATCGTCGGTACCGGCTTCACGGACGAAGAGGTCCAACGACAGTATGATATCGGCCAGGCCTTTTTCAATATTCCCCTCGAAGAGCGAACTCGTCCCGAGTACCGGTGTGACTTCGCGAATGGCAACTACTTTGGTTATCGCGCTGTATGTGGTGTTCCATGTCTATTTTCTGCGACTGTCAGACTAACCAAGGGATCACTTGTAGGCGAACGAGAAACAGATCAAGGGCACCGAGGTCAAGGATAACGTAGAGTCGTTCAACTTTGCCAAATTCACCCAGGCATACGCCGACCAGCCGTTCCATCCGTTCTTCGAGCCCTTCCGTGCTGAGATGGCTGATTTCTCTCGGGTGCGTGAAACCGTGAACAACTGTCCTTTCAATCAGTTAAACTGACATTTATTTCCAGCGCGCCCTCGGAATTGCCAGTAAGATATTCGAACTCTGTGCAATCCTCCTCGAACTCCCAGAGGACTATTTCTCATCCGGACACCAGTACGACGAGAGAGGCGACGACCACCTCCGATACATGATCTACCACCCGCGTAGCGAGGAGGACGATGCGAAGGTCGACAACAGCTGGTCGCGTGCGCACACTGACTTCGGGTCCCTGACGCTACTCTGGAACCAGACCGTCGCCGGTCTGCAGCTGAAGACCCCCAGTGGCAAATGGGAGTACGTCCCACCAGTCGACGGCGGCATTATCTGCAACGTCGGCGACACGCTGGACTTCTGGTCTGCAGGGTACCTCAAGTCGACAACTCACCGCGTTGTTCGGCCTCCAAAGGACCAGGATCACATTCACCGGCTGGGTCTCTTCTACTTCGTGCGGCCTGGCGACAACGTCGATATCAAGCCGGCGCCGTCGCCGCTGCTTAAACGATTGGGGTTGGTTCCTGAGAACCAGGAAGAAAAAGAGCCGGTCCGTGGTCTTCAATATGTGAGGGAGCGGGTGAAGAATTATCACAACCATACCAACTATGCGGATATGACGGGCCATAAGTTCCGCGTGGGTAACCTTGAGATTGTGGATGAGGCCCGATAAGTCACTGGTGCTTGCAGCATTGGGGTGACTTGCAGGGCTGTATATAGGGTGGGTTATAGTCTCAAAATTGTATATTCGCACATATCATGGGAGGCACGTTATCGTAATAATGTTGTTCCCACCTCTAGAAGTCGCGCTTCTACTTAGTTGATTATAGTGCAGCAGTAGTTAGGTCTCGCTTTCCTGGGTTTCACTGCGAACCAAAACAAGGTATCGCCTAACAGACCATTTATTGTTGATTTACCTGAGAAGCAAGAAACCTCGAGCTACTCAGCACACGACTCAGTTGCCGCCAGACCAGCGACTAGACGTGAATCATGTCGCACAGGGTTTGACACCTCAAGCCCTAAATAAGACCTCCTCGCTAAAGGACCATTCCACACTCCCCACAGGGCACGGGAAGAGCGGGAGTATGCGTCAATGTGGTCCCTGGCTGAAATCTAGATTGAGTGGAGTGTTCCAATGTAATAATAATGCATACCGCGGGATTATTTGCCGGGCAACGCGATACCGGAGGCGGGGGTGAGGCGAGCATTCCCGAGGTCGGACGGGCATGCTGGTTGCATGCGGACATAATTGGCTCGAGTGTACTCTCATGGGAATACTTGCGCTTGCACAATAATTCCCGCAACAATAACACTCATCATAGTTGTGTGAGTTGCATCTTCTTATTCTTGGACTCTTTCTCCGAACCGGACCCAGTGACGTCAGGCTCCACTTGTGTCCAGACTCACCCGCTTGTATGTAGGAAGTAGGCATGCCTAGGATAGGAATGATAATGGAAGGGTGATGTCTGTCTAGGTCCCGGTGTACTACTGCTACGTAAGAGAAGAATATTACTCTCGATGATGTACCCGATGATAGACACCGTGTGCGTTGTTGGTCTTGGCCGCATTTGGACCAGCGTGTGGCGCACGTGCGATCGGCTGCTCTTATCAGGCGGTACCAAGTCCTGCGATGGTAGCGAACTAGGTTTGAGGGGTTGCTGGTTGCGCTACAGCATCTTAGTATGGAGGGGTTACCCAGTCGGGGGTCAGGGAACTGACTTCCAGAATCCTAGTAGGTATACAGCTAATATTCAAGGGTACAGCTGGGTGTGCTAGGAGAGAATCATCTTCAATCATACTGAGACAAGTAATAGAAGCGAGTAGAATATAATAGGTAGCTAGAAGAGTAATCATCAGATAGTCAGTCATACTGTAAATCAAGAATCCAGAGTACCCCGGGTCCGCCCGGCCACGCTTTGGCTGCTGGCGCCTTGACTGGCCGCACAAGGTTACTGTGCTGTACACACGTTCTGCCCCCTCCTACCCTGCTGTGGCTTCCCTCTTTCTTCTTCCTTCTTATTTCTTTCCCTTCCCTCCCTCCAACTCTGCATCCAAGTTCTACTCTCACTTGTCCCCCAGACAACCTCCAGACCGTTGCTTTGCGCCCGGTCTGTATCTTATCGCGCCTTATCTTCCCTCCCCCGATCGCGTCGCATCTCCCGTCGTGGTCCTCATCCGGCCCCATCAGCCCTGAACACGTCGCGTTCTGCTTTACTGCACCACCCGTGTTCTTTGTGTTGACTGTGTACCAGGTATGTGTGTACCTTTTTTCTTTGTTGATGCCTCTTTGTCTCTATCGCCACCGGATGTCATCTCGGTGGCGCCCCTTGTACTTGCGAACCACTGGACCGTCTGACTCATATGGTATTAATACAGCCAACACAACCCCCTTTCTCTTTCTTCGCCCATCATGGCTTCTCAGACGTCTAACTCCACCATCGCGATGGCCTTTGCCGGCAAGACTGGCTCCGTCGACATCCCCCAGGCTCGGTCGGGCCTCGCGTCGGGGCGTCCCCTGACGCGTCGTCTTGGCCAGCCTGCGATGCTGCCCACGCCACCGAACTCCATCTCCCCTACCCTCCCTCCGCAGGCTTTCAAGCATCGCGCGACCTTTTCGCCTGGATCGCCGCTGTCAACAGTGCCCCAGCTCGACTCCGACATCGACCTCCAGGACGCTCTCGAGCATGCGAACAGCCAGGACCAACCCCAGCAGGCTGCGCACGAACTCGACAGCGCTGGCGCAATCACGCCCGCCATGCTGGCGAAATACCACCTGCCGGAGATCCTGCTGCACCAGGGCCCGATGGCTATTCGTCACGTCATGGGCTACCTGACCACCTCGGTGCCGGGCTTCTCAAGCATTCCCGCTGCCAAGGCCCGCCGACTGGTTGTTTCCGCGCTGGAAGGCCGTGGCCAGGGAGGCCAAGCCGGCGGAGTGGATGGCGATGTCATCTTCGAGAAGGCCGGTTGGGGTTGCTGGGACGCGCACCACCGAGGAGAGCCCGCGCGCGATCAGGCAACCTCGCCTCCGTCCAGTATTCCCGGCTCATTCCAGCAGCGTGGCCTGCAAATCCAGGGTCGCTCTACGGCTTGGCTCAACAAAGGCCGGGCCCCCTACGGCACGAGCATAGGCGCTGACTCCACGGCGTTCTCGTACTCGGAGGACTATGGCGCCCACGGGGATCTCGACATGCTCGAACATGAGGCCGACAAGATGTCACTCGATGGCGACGAGCGCGAGTACTGCTCCTCCTCGGAAGCTCCCGACGAGATGCAAGACGACGACTGGGGCGAAGGCGACGTCACCGACGAAGAGGACTGGGCGCAGATTGGCGCGGATGCCCTGCGCGCTCGCTCGATGAACGGTGGTGGCGGTTTCTTGCCTAGCCACGTCACTGCGCGAGCTAAGCCGCAGCCTCCTGGTCTCTTCGCCAACGACGCCCCGCACAAGTCCGCCCCTACCAACATCGACACCCAGGAACGCGCTGCGGTGGAGGCGCTTCTACGACTAGGCTCCATGTAGAGTCTACATTCACCACCATCATCATATCATCACCGGCGTTTTTTCTTTCTTGGATTGGGAATCACAAACCGCGTTCATAATCAGGTCGTCAAGGCTGGACCGGACCGCGCTTGACGGGCTTGTTAACCCCTTCTTGTTTTGTTTCACGACACTTAATCATGAAAAAGACACGACCAGATATTCGCACTTTTTGTTCAACTGCGACTGGTTCGATAACATGCATTGGTTTCCTGGGTCGGCGTTTTTGGGGGTTGTTTTCTTCACGTCTTACGATCAAATCTGAGCAGGTTCTGACATTGTCGATCCTGTTCTACTCACTGCAGTATGCTGTTCCGGATACTGCTTACCTCGAACATCGGGGCTCTTGTGGCGTTTCATCTCCTTTCTTGCATCAAATCCATCCAGTATATGTCTGGGCTTGGATTCTATCTTTGGTTTTACTTACTTTTTTTAATACTCTCGGATTCCTGGGTTGAAGGGAAAAGCCTGCCTCCTGCCATGACCAGAATGTGCTTTGGTCGTCTTGATTGCACTGTACTGGGTACACAGTCTGTCTGGTTGTTGGTCTGCTACTGCGTGGTGCAAATTGCCTGGTCATCTTGATTGATTCCACTGGGTATTTATTTGTATCGAGGAATTGACTCCACTCTGCAAGTACATAGTTTCTAAGAAATGTGCATGCATACTCTATCTTCTGTAAAATGAGCACCTGTGGATTACCGTATACGAATAGTTTTACCGATATCTGGTGGAGCGAGAAGGAGGATACTTGGTTCTGATACAAAGAACTCTTTAATTCTCGTGCAGACTCGCAAGATCTTTCTTTCATCTAGTCTTTTATCAGCTCTCCAAATTCTGCCTGTACGCTCGAAGCCGCTAACCGCCTGTCGAAGATGTTTGATCGTCCGCCGAGAAAGAGTCAGGTTAACTCCAACTATGTATACTAGGTATGTATCTGGAACCAACGGCGGATCTATCGTTTCTCTCCCAACCTTGTTCTCCCGAAAAGGTATTTCTAAACGTATATAGAGGCAAGCTCGGTATGGAGCAGTCCATACAAATCCCCGAACTCCATCCCAATCATAGAACGAAATGAAACCACCATCCCTTCCTTCTTGCCTTTTGCCCTTGGAAACAACATGCATAATTAGAATTCGCCATAACAAGCACCACCGAAAACCAACCACATTCCATTACCCTCAACCAACAAACCGCTAGTTACTTTCCTTTCTTCTCCCCATGATCCAAGAATGTGCACATCGCTCGCCTGACAGCAGCCCTATTTCTCACCATGTGCATCATTAATCCGCTTCCAGACCTCGGCCTCGACCTCTGCTAACTTGTTCCCCGCAGTGTTCATCCACGTCTTGGCTGTGTTGAACAAACTGGGCTCATCCTCGTCTGCAAAGATGCTTTCCGCCCCTCCTCCTCTCCCGCCACCACTGCCACCATAATGCGTCGGTAGGCCCTGTGGTCTAACAGCCGAGCCGGGGGACTGGTATACCGAGGCGAAGGCGGTAGATGTCGAGTTTGGGATTGCTTGTTGCTGCTGCACGGAGGGGGACTGGTAGGAGTAGGATTGGGTGAAGGGTTTCCGTGGGCTTGCTGTAGAGGTAGCTGGAGCTGGAGCAGGAGAAGACAGGGAGGGCGGAATTGATTCGCCTGCTTTTGGCGGTGGAGGAACAGCAGACGGAGCTGCTGCATTCGCAGAAGGAGGCTCAGGACGCGCACCGGGCTGGGGCGCCGGTGGAGAATGAGCAGATGCACTCGTCGGCGCAGACGGCGTCGTCGAGGTAGCAGCTACATTTCCCAGCGGTGGTTGCTGGCCTCCGGAAGCTGTCGTCGCCGTTGGAGTAGGCAAGGTAGGCGCCGCACCGGGCTGAGGTGCGGGAGGACCGCCTGTCTGCGTGGTAGAGTAGATTGGCGAGTACGACGGTGCTGTAGCTGTCGCAGAAGTATTGGGTGGCTGGGGGGGAGTCGTGAGCCCGGACTGGATTGCGGTGGCGGGTTCGGGGTGCGACGTTGTGGTGTGCGTGTCTTCTTCCTTGGTGGAGGAGTTGGCGTTCACGGGCGCGGAGGTGTAGGTTGGTATGCCCGACATGTTGAGTGAGTGCAGTATTAAAGTTCCAGTGTGATGCGAAAAGGAGGTTGAAAAAGAGAAAAAGTGAAGCAGCTCTTGGGAAACTCCTGGGGAAGAGACGTCATGCGCCCTTGCCGCTGTGGAGCACGAATGCCGCTTACCTAGTATACAGTATACAATACTTACTAACCACATCTATACAATTCTGTACTTGCAAGGGCTACTTGAATGTATGAATGTACTTGTTCTATTGGGATATAACCTACTGCATCACAAAGTTGTATAGTGCCGGATTTTGGTACTCCTCTCCATTGTCCAGAAAGTGGTCCTCCCCGTGAGGGCCTTCATATTCAACCGTCAATCCACATCCCAGAATCGCACCCGCAACTTCATCAGCCTGCTCCACGCCCACAGCTGCATCCGCATCTCCGTGTAAGAGATACGTCGGCGGCAGGCCGTGCTGTTGGATGCGGTGTGAGATGCGGTACGGCGCCGCTGCGCTGTCATCGCGAGCAATGCCCCAGAGCTTTGCCAGACTTGCCATCCGCGTCATGTACACGTACATCAACCGTAGAGAAGCTTCCCATCACGCTCATAGAAGACATCAAATAAATCTGGTGCGGTTTTATCTTGGCAGACCAGCGCCCCTATCGACGCCATGTCGTAGAAGAGCAGGTCGGAATAGTATGGCCCATGACCGGCTTGATAGTCGCGAAGGAGATATTCCCGGTAGAGCACCATGTGATAATAATATGCGTGCTGGAAGAACGCCGACATGGCCTGCTGGCAGACCGAGGTTTGGGGAGTGAGCTGGCAATGCAAGACAACAGGGCTTGCATGGCCAAGGCAAGGTGCAGCACCGCTTGAGACTTGTCGAGACGGCCGTCAGTCTTCATGCAGTGCTTCGTCCACCGAACATCCAGTCCGGAGGACAATGGACTTGGCAATCAGAGAACGGAAGTGGTCATGAACTACAGTCTACACGCTTACTCTTGTGAACAAGGTAGAGACAAAGTGAAGTACAAATTTGAGAAAGAAAGAAAGAGTTTGCAGGCAGTAAAGTACATCGGGTAAACAAAAGGGAAACAGAATCACACCATTCTATGCTTCAAGATCCCCCCGCACCCATTTCTTGACGCATCTATCTTTTGACAATCCCACAACCTCAGCATCCGCGGCTCAGGAGGAACGGCAGCGAATCATCTATTTGAACTTCTTGCCGAAGAGCAGCATCTGGGCCTGGTCGTAGATGGACAGGACACCGGCACCGGCGACACCACGCAGGATGTTGGCACCAGCACCCTTGAAGAGCGACTTGACACCCTCCTTGGCGATGATCTGGCGGGCAGCATCCATGGAGCTGGAGTACTTGACGGCCTCACCCGAGGTCATCATCATACGACGACGGACGGTATCCAGAGGGTACGAGGCAACACCGGCACCGGTGGTGACGGTCCAGCCGAGCAGGAACGAGGCAAGGAAGGAACCCTCAAGAGGGCCAACCAGGAGGACGGGCTTGATCGAGTCGTACATACCGAAGTACAGACCACGGTACACGACAATTCCGAGGACGGAGGGACCGAAGCCACGGTAGAGACCGGCAATACCGTCGGAGGCCAGGGTCTTGCGGTAGACATCGACAAGACCGTTGAACTGGCGCTCACCGCTGCCCTTGGCGGACTTGGCGTCGTTAGCCAGACGGGTACGGGCGTAGTCCAGCGAGTAGACGAAGAGCAGGGAAGTGGCACCGGCAGCACCACCGGAGGCCAGGTTACCCATCATCCACTTGGCGTAGCCATCACGGTCCTTCTTGTAGGCGAACATCGACTTGTAGGTGTCACGGAAGGCGAAGTTCAGGGCCTGGGTAGGGAAGTAACGGATGACGTTGGCAGTGTTACCACGCCACAGCGAAACAACACCCTCGGCGGCAGCAGTACGACGGAAGCAGTCGGCGATACCGTTGTACTTGCGGTCGAGACGACCGGCCTTAAGCATCTCATCCTATAAAGGGGTTAGAATGGCTGCTCATCAGGGGCGGATCCAGAATGAAAAATTTTTCCATGTCAAAGCGCAAGTCCAGTCGCTGTCACAATTGAAGAATTTTCATTCATCTTCGAGTGAAAACTAACCTGGTTCTGGATGAGGAGCTTAATACGCTCGATGGGGGCAGCAGCGGTCTTGGAGACAGCGGCGGAGACACCACCCACTGCACGCAAAGTTAGTTATCATCCAAAAAATCGGGCCAATGGTGATCGTCATGCTCATCGATGGGATTGGCATGATTGGCATTGATGAAGAGCGTCAGGGTTGGCACATACTCAGGAAGTCAACAACGAAGCCCTACCCAAGAAAAATTTGTTAGCATCATCTGGCATCTCCAAAAACGACCCAGCATCCTCCGATCCATCTCTGCGAATCAGTCTGAAGCCACTCTGGATGTCACAGCACCCATCGGGGCATCATGCCGACCGGCAAAGATGGAACGGTCAGGCCAGCTCAGCAGGAATGGCGACTTACGGGCATGCCCATGAAGGACTTCTCGGCCTGGTTAACGTCACCCTTCGACATTGTGGAGGTTGTGCAAAAGAAAGGAATGCAACAAAGAGAGGAGATGGGGGAAGAAGAGTGTCGCGGGAAGAAAAGACACTTCACAGGGATGGGGGAAGAGGAGAAAAAAAGAGAAGAAGGGGCGGAAGGGGCAGAAAAAAATACGGCAAGAAGCGAACGCTAGCCCCGATCAGGTAAAAATTACACCGTATCAGCGCCGTTTTAATGACCGCCAGGCCGGTATCTCCCGAACGCAGAAATTTTTGCACGCCGGCCATTGTGCCACTTGAAGAGGATCGATTGATTCGAGGAATGGTTCTAGCAACACACTGCCTCCATAGAATTATTCCTGTTATTTTTCCGCCGCCTTTTCCCCGGTTTTGGCCTGCTAAACCCCCCCAAAGACCGTCCAGCACCGGACGGTAACAGGCTGACGGGCCCATGTTTTGCCCGTCGTGAGCCGAAAGTGCCTTCCTTCCCACCGGGGCAACGCCTCCTTTTCTGCTCCGAGTATCCCGGCAAACTCTGCCGGTCGCCACCGAATGCTTTCTAGATGCGCAATTTGTACACATTTTGATGCTGTCGTTAGCTCCGATATGGGCGATTGGAATTTCTATATATCTTCGATCCGTTACTATCAAGGCTGTGGTGAGCATATGATGATGGAAACAGTTGCGCCACGGGATCAATGTCATAGGTACATCGTTGGTGGTAGAGCTCTGCTGCATGAGCGAGGTACATGTACCCGCGGCGTTTAAACAAGGCCAGGCACGACCCAATCAGCGATCTGCTCAGACTCCACCGGGTTCCCGTTTGGGGGTTTACCACATAGAACATTTGTAGAACGGCCGAGTCAATCAGAAATCTAGTAAAAGTAACTAAGATTCTAACACATTATTTAGTCAGACCTGGTGGGAGATATCGACATGTAAGAATCGGCTGATCGATCTCGGGATGTAACTCCATCCACATATCTCTGGAAGTGTTCAATATATATTGTTTGCGAGGACACGGTTTGGAAAATCTCTCACATTGAAAATACTATCCACAGAGAAAAGTTACAAGAGCAACTCTATCACCCAATCACTGCCTATTTCTTCGATCGCTTCCTCTTCTTCCGCCGCCCATCACCCTCCCGAATATCCACCTTGGCCTCCTCATCATCGCCTTGCTCAGCCGACGGCCCAGGAGCATCGCCGCCAAACTTGAAGGTCGGCCCCTCCTCGTTACCAAAGGTGTCCTTGCGCCATTGACGCAGTCGGGCTTTCTTCCCCAGCTTCCTCTGGTCGCGCGCCTTCTGTTCCTCATCTCGGAAGGCAGCGAGTTTCTTCAAACCCGCAAACTGGTTGAGCTGGGTGTCGTCCGCCATGAGAATGTCCCGCGCGGTCAGGCCAAAGCTCTGGGGCGAGGTTTCGCGGTAGCGGAACTTGGTGGCATTCTTCTTGGTGGCACCGGGGAGCAAGGTGATGTCGAGGTCCAGATTGCGATCCACCGCCTCTTCGATCCGCATACGATCTTTGCGGGCTTCCCGTTTCTGGTCGCGCCTCTCCTGAGCCTTGCTCTTCTTCGCGGACGGCTCACCATCCTCTCCCTCGTCGGACGAGTCAAGAGTAGGCCTGGGCTCTTCATCCTCAAAGTCTGGGACCAGATCTTTGATGTCGATGTCGTCGTCCCATGTCGGTTTCTTGGGATGCTTCTTCTTTTTTCCCTCGGTGCCGCTCTCACCATCGTCCTCGGCGTAGTATTCTTCCCCAAACCGCTTCTGCATCTCGGATTCCCACTTCTTGTCGTCCCATGCATCGTCCAAGAAACGAGCCCAGTCGTCATCCGTAAACTCCGATGCCCGGAGACCGGCGACAGCCTTGATCTGCTTGACCTTGTTCTGCAGTTCCTCCGTCTTAAGCTTGCGAAGGCGGTTCTTTTCTGCATCACGCTGTTTCTTCTCCTCTTCTTTCCGCTGGCGCTCCGCATCACGGATCTTCTTTCTCGAGCTCTTCTCCTCTCTGCGAACAGATTGCTTGTTGGTGGCATCACGGGAATGGGTGAGTAGTTTCTCATTGAGCTTGCTAGGGTCTTCGAAACGGAAGTTGTACGCTTCTTCAAACTGCTCGGCTCTGTCCACTTCCTCGTCGTCATCCGAATCAAACGGATGTAGCTCGGGTCGCCCAGCGGGGACCCACGCTCGCGATGACATGAAGTTGGACAGGAAAGTCTCCGGGTCATTGTCCGCATTCTTAACGTCCAGATTGACATCGCGCTTGGGTGGTGGAAGCTTCTCAGGTGCCGATTTGCGCACCAGAAAATTGTCTTCTGCGTCCTCCATGTCCACATCTCCCGACTCATCGTCCGCGTGCATCTGCTTGATCAGGGCATGCTTAAGGTCGGCTTGCTCCTGCGCAAAAGTCTTCGGCGCATCTTCCTCATCGACGGGGTTGACACCACTAAGAAGATTCTCGCGATGATAATCGTGCAGCGTCATCGGTTTTTCTTTCTTCCCAGTTCCGGCGTTGGCGTCTTCAGGATCGAACTGGGTGTAGAACGTGGCATTCTGGTCATATACCCGAGGGTCCTTGGAGCGAATGGCATTTAAAGTGGCCATGATCTCCGCGTCAACAGCTTCCGTAGCCAGCTCTGCATCATCGTCCTCTTCCTCAGAGGTAGAATCGTCGGAGTTCGAGGCCTCATCGTCGTCTCGGCGCTTTCCTAGGCTGGATGCCTTGCCATACTTTGACTCCACTAAGACACATATATCGTTAGTGAGAAAAAAAAAAGCACTTTGATTCAAAAGAATGAATTGCACATACGTTTCTGCACTTCTTCTCTCTTCTTGTTGTGCTCGAATCGACGGGCATAGTCCTCATTGACTTTGAACGAGGAATCGGGCGACTGCTTGCCGACGAGGACTCCCCCTGCCTCATCTCCAGAGTCAGAGGAATCGTCATCCAGCAGTTTGCGCATCTTCTTGGATGGAGGCTCCATGGCTGCAGCAGAGAAAAGACGATCCTCAATCGATGGCAGAACATCAAAAAAAATCACTCACCGCTTTCCGCTTGTTGCCTCAGGCCATCAGGCAGAACCAACCCCCCCCTGACGTAGCCAATTAGATCATCCTCGAAGCGGCAACTGAACACTACCTAGTATTGCGTTGGGCCAGGTTTCAATCCTCCTGCAAACAATCATCATCGTCGTGGTTC